AGATTAGTTCCTGGGATGAGGGGGTTGACCTATGAGGATAAGTTAAGTAAACTAGGCCTATATTCTCTAGAATATAGAAGAATTAGGGGTGATCTTGTAGAAACATATAAGATTCTTAAGGGGGTTGACAGAATAGATAGTGTAATACTTTTTCCCCTGGTAGGAGAATCTAGAACTAGGTTCACAGTCTTAAGATTAAGGGACAGCCTTTTCGAACATAGAGTTGAGGAAACACTTCTTCACTCAGAGGAAAGTGAATTCATGGAATTCTCTACCCTAGAAGACTGTAAATGCTCAGTCCTTGAACATATTCAAAACTGAGATTGATAGGTTTCTAAAGGATAGAGGGATTAAGGGATATGGGGATAAGGCGGGCAGATGGAATTAGGTTAGCAGATCAGCCACGATCTTATTGAATGGCAGGGCAGGCTCGAGGGGCTGAATAGCCTACTCTTGTTCCTAATTCTCAGCACCTTGGGACGTCCTCCCGATGTGAAAGGCGCTATACAAATGTAATCTTGTTGTTCTTGTTGTTGTTTCTATGTTCCTATCTTGAAGTCGATCCAATCGATCATGGGGAGCCAGTGCAGCCTGGCCAGAACTGGTGAGATGTGGGTATGGAGTTTGGTCCGGGTCAGTATGTGGGCAGCAGAGTTTCAAATGAGCTGGATCTTGTGAATGGTGGAGCTGGGGAGACCAACAAGGAGTGCGTTGGAGTAATCAAAGTGGGAGGTGACAAACACTTGCACTGGGGTTTCGGCTGCATATGGGGTAAGGTATGGTTGGAGGTGGGCAATGTGGCGGAGGTGGAAGAAGGCAGTTCTGGTCAGGGACCAAATGTGGGGGAGAAAGGACAGTTGGGGGTCGAACTGGACTCCTAGGTTGCGTACTGGTTCAGTGAGTCTGAGGGAGAGCCCAGAGAGGTTGAAGAGTTTAGATCCGCAGGAGTGAAGATGTTGATGGGAGTCAAGGAGTATGGGCTCCGTTTTGTCCATATTCAGCTGCAGAAAGTTTACAATCATCCAGGCCTTGATGTCTGCCAGACAAGCTGATGGAACATCGGCGGACCTGGAGTTGATACTGGAGGAGGCAAAGTAGATTTGTGTGTCATCCTCGTGGAAGTTGACCTTGTGTCTGCGCGTGATATTGCCCAGAGGGAGCATATAGATAAGGAAAAGTAGAGGGCCAAGGATGGAGCCCTGGGGTATCCCGCAGGGTAGGACGGGATGAGAAACCATTTGCTGAGATGAAATGGAGGCAATTGGTTAAGTAGGACTCAAACCATGCGAGTGCTGTCCCACTAAGGTGGATGATGGAGGAGAGCTGATGGAGGAGGATGGCGTGGTCGACTGTGTCGAACATGGCAGAGAGATCCAGGAGGATGAGGAGGCAGAGGGAACTCTGGTAACAGATGGAGAGAATATCGTTTGTGACTTTGACAAGCGCTCTCTCTGTGCTAGGGTGAAAGCTAGACTGCAGGGACTCGAGAGGGAATGGAAAAAGAGGTGTGACCGAAATTGACCTGCAATAATGCGTTCCTAGACTTTGGCAAGAAAGGGTAGGTTGAAGATGGGACAGTAGTGTGCAAGACTAGAGATCGAGGGTAGGTTTTTTGAGAAGGGGTGTGATGACAGCGGTTTTCAAGGGAAGTGGAACAGAGCCTGAGAAAAGAGACTGGTTGACCGTGTCAGCCAACAGGGGGGAGAGAAGGGGGAGTTGAGTGACCAGCAGCTGGGTGGGGAGAGAGTTGAGGTAGCAGGTGGTGAACTTAATCCAGGTGATTGTGGTTGAGAGGGAGGAGGGAGAAATAGGGGCAAAGGAGTGTAAGGAGTGGGGAGTGGCAGGAGCGGTGGCGGACTGAGAAGGTGGTGGAGTGAGAAGGTGGTGTGGATGGTCTGGTAGGGGACATGGGGAGGTGCAGAATGATGCAGCCAAGTGGATGTTTTCAATTTCTAAGTCAAAGTCTAGGACCTCATCGCACTTGGTGTTTGATGTGAGGATAACGGGGGCTTGAGGGGTTGCATGGAGGAGGTGATGGATGGTGGAAAACAGCATCTTTGGGTTGTTGTTTACCTCCACAATGACTTTGGAGTAAAGGTCAGTTTTGGCCTGTGAAAGGGAGAGGCGATAGGTGCGGAAGTGTTCGAGCAACACCTGGCGGTGGATCTTGAGGCCGGATTTCTGCCCTCTGTGCTCAAACATCCAGGTTTGTGTTTTGAGTGAGCGGAACTGATTGTTGTACTGGGGGAATGGGTGGGTTTGAAAACTACCCTGGATTTCAGGGGAGACAGGGAATTGAAGTTGTGGAGAAATGGTCATTCAGCAGCTTCATCAGGATCGCTGCAGGTGGAGGGCCAGAGGGAGAGGAGGTCCGAGGAAGAGAGAGCATTTGTGAAGGACTCAGGGGGAAGCTTTTTCCAGGGATGGAAAAAAAGGTGGAGGACTTGGAGGCGGGGAGGGAGATGTGGGAGGAGAGGGAGATGAGGAAGTGGTCCTAACGGATACAATTTTCTAACAAAAATCTTATCTAATTTCTATGATAGAATCATGAAAGTAACAGTGTTTCTGCATGAAAACAGAACAGAAAAAATTGGAATTTGCAAAAAGAAAATATCAGGGCTGGATAAAGACCGACACCTGAACATCACTCTTTGTGCAGCAACAATAACAAGGTTACATTTGTATAATGCCTTTCACGTCGGGAGGACGTCCCAAGGCACTGGACAGTGTACAGCATTTAAGACCCGAGCAGGGGTCAGGCGGGGAGAAGAGAGGGGAGGGGAAGGGGGGATGGCCGACGGCATGGTCAAAAACGAAGGTCTTGATCATGTAAATCTAGTTTGAGTTGACAGTGCTGAGCCATATCAGCATTAAGTAGTGTCCTGCACTTAATGAACTGGCTTATTGAGCAACTGCTGGCTGGTGTTCAAGACGTACCTCTTTGATTGCACTTTCAGTCATCTTTCGGAAATCCTCCTAACGTGAAAGATATCTAGGGTGTTAGCTGTTGGTGTCTGGGGTATTGGTTGTGGGCATTTGTGAAGGACTCAGGGGGCAGCTGTTTCCAGGGACGGAAAAAAAGGTGGAGGACTTGTCACCTCCTTTCTGTTTTGAAATACCTGCCTGAAAAGTTACCTTTTTTTGATTAGCCTGGGACATAAGCAGAAACCCATCACCGTGTATCTCACCTACACATGGAAATTCCAGAGATATTTATTGGAATGCAATGCACACTCTCTCCCTGGAGGACCTGAAACGTTAACTCATTTTCCTATCCTCTTTCCTCTATCCATGGATGCCGCCTGACCTGCTGTGTGTTCTCAGTGACTTCCGTGTTTATACCAGATTCCCAGCATCTGCAGTACTTTGCCTTTTGTTTTCCGTAGATTATTAGGTGCAGGTTGGCAAGACCGCACCTGTGGTTACACCCCCTTCCCGCCGTTGAGTTCTCTGTAATAATATTTACCAGACCAGGCTATGTCCCATCCAAGGGATTTTATTTTAGATCTGATGTGACTTTTCCACAGGAGAAACAATACAAATGCTTACGCTGTATTAAGCTGATAGTCTGGAACAAAACATACATACAACAACAGCAAGATTACATTTGTATAGCGCCTTTCACATCGGGAAGATGTCCCATATCTTTCCTGGGAGCTGGTCGGAGATGTCTTTTTCAGTTCTTGTCAGCAAATAATACAACCCCTTTACCCAAGTACTCCCCCAAATCTTTATACCACATTTGTCCAAACCTAATGCATTCATGTTTCTCTCTTCCAGTGTCCTGGCCAGGGCATTAATGCAATCATCCTGGTCAAGAATGTTAGTACAAACAGAGTCTCCAGGCACCTCCTGTCTCTCTTTGTCACAGTTGGTTGGTCCCTTAATAGTGGCCTTCCTTATCTCACCCCACAGTTCCAGATCAAGGCTTTCACTCTGGCTTTGGGGTCTAAAGCAAACCCCTAGTAATAGCTTACTTCTGTTAATTCTTTTAATTCTCCCAAAGTGATTCTGCGTCTGCCCTTTCCCTTTTTATATCCACTTTCACTTGTGTCTCAATAATAGGCCTTATATATAGTGCCACACCACCTCCTCTTCTTCTAATACAGTCTCTCCTGAACAGTTTATAACCTCCAGATGCATATCCCATTGATTGGATTCATTCCACCATGTCTCTATTATGTTAATGATGTTCAATCACCCCCTACAAGACCTTCTAGATCACGCATCTTGTTTGTCAGACTTCTTAAATTAATACAAGTACAGCTCCATTGTTTTTTGCCTTTCCCATTTACTTTATAAGCATCCTTTGTTTCTTTTTCACCAATCTTTGGAATTAGACCCATTACACTGGTCCGCTTTAAAGTTTTCCCTAATCAGTTCAGATGCTCTCTTACACCTACAACAACCACCCCGTGCCTAGTTCAAACACTCCCTAAATAAATCATCTTTCTTTCCTGCCAACACCTCCAACCCCTCCACCCACCAGGATTATTATTATTATTAAATACTCTCTTCTGATCCCCAATCATGTCTGCACTAAGGTGACTAGTTGATCATTAAGGTGATTAGTTGATCACGTTAGCCCATTAGTCTTCCCTCCAGACTGCAGATCCCATTAAGTCATTTATTTACATCTCTACACCACAATCCCTGCCCACTCAGCGTTGACCCTGTGCAAGGCATCCTGTGTGAAATGTGTTATATAAATGCAAGTTATTCCTAAGGTGATCTCCACGTGGTGCTTTGGGACACTCAAAAAATTGATCACTCAACCCATGTTTGCTTGTTGCACAATTGGCTGCTGCATTTCAAACAAAATCTACAGTCAATTGACTTTACAGTATATTCTGCGACGAGCTTGAATTCATCTTGAAGATGTGATAAGGCCCTACATCAAATGCAAAGATTATTATTATTATTATTATTATTATGAAGGCTCTGTATAAAAGTGCAAACAGCTGCTAAACTGCAGGGTCAGGAAAGCCATCACGACCCGCCCTTAAAAGTGCGTCTTGAGTCTCATAAAATGAGCCACTTAAAACTGAACGGTTAGGAAATTGTGAAAGAGGCAGTTGGGGAAGGCTGACATATGGAGAGAGAGAGAAAAAAAAACAAATCATGTGGATCAGCAAAAACTCAGCAAAGCACATTCCTGGAGATCACCGTGGAGACGAGGGGGAGGACAAGCCGACACTTCCCAACAGTTGCAGTGATTCCCCCGCAGCCGACGTGCAGAGAGGGAGGAGATCCCCCAGTGAAGCTCAGGCTGTGACTTACAGCCCATGGGTTTGGGAGCAGAGCGATCCTGGTCGGTGGATGCTCACACACCATGAGTCCTGCCTGTGCTCTGGCTTTCCTCACTCTCTGGTCGCTGGCAAACTCCGCCACTCGAACCTACCACATGGGAATTAAAGAAGAGGAGTGGGACTACGCACCCAGCGGGGAAAACCTGCTCACCCGCCTGGACCTGGAACGGGATGAGTATGTGGGGTGAATGTTTGGGGGCAACGTCCCTGATCTCCGGTTCGCCTTTCGCAATTATTCCGTCTCCTTCTCGGCGCGGCTCAACCGCTGCAGTGTGTGCGGCAGCTCCGCTCCCGGTCAGTCAGACAGATACCCATCTCGCACGTACTTGATACCTTACTCCCAGACCCCAGACCTGGTCTCCACTGTGTGCTCTTGTCTGTGTTGATGTACTTAAGCCCCGGAATCGCCACCACAGCCCCATTCCCCCCCACTGAGGGAGGCGTACAAACAGCGGATGCGTCTGCAGTATTTTTGTTGTCCAAACAGCAGTGCTTTGTCTGATGGTTGAAATATTTCTATAAAAGGTTGGGTGGTGATATCCTGTGCTCCAGCAACCGAAAGCAATTGTTTCACAGGAGGGTTTTTTTTGTTGCTGTTGGGTGGCAGATCTGACAGCTGGGACTGTCCTGGTCCCTGCTGATAAGATAGTTGTGAATCTGAGCCTTGGAAACAGCTCGTTACAGAGCTTTCCTGTGACAGTTACGCAATCTTTTCCGTTGCGGAGAGAGTTAAGAATTATACAAGCGTAGAATCTTAATAATAATAATAATAATCCTTGCAGCTTGATACAGTGTTTTTCACGTCTTCTCGACGCCTCGAAGCGCTTCACAGAATAGACTGTAGAGTGAATTGACCGTATATTTGGGGGCGAAACGCGGCAGCCTTTTGCGCACAGCAGTGTCCCACAAACAGTCCTGGATTGAAATGACCAACTTATTATTGTTTTTTTTTTGAGGGATTATTATCAGGCGCGTGGAGTAAGGAAACTTGGCCAAGGTTTTGCCGGGAATCGAACCTGGGTCTCTCGTTTGCGAGGCTTGCGCACTAACCACTGAGCTACAGGACTCCACAAGCAGGAGGCCATTCGACTCATCATACCTGTACCAGCTCTTTGAAGGAGCTACTAACTCTTCCCACTCCCCCAATCTTACCCCAGAGCCTGCAAATTTTAAGGAAGAAGATGATTAAAAGTTTTGAATGTTCATTGTCTTGTAACTGAATGTTGAGGTAAGATGTGGGTGTCCGCCAGTTCAATCAGTAAGTGTTGAGACATAATTGAAGTAAAGAGCTTATAGCAAACCAGCTTCATAATTGAGACTTTATTCATAAATTTGACAAACTGTTGGATGCTCTGAAATACAATGTTCACAGAGTAAATCTATAGGTGGAATGTTACCCCTAACAATATTTGAAAGGAATTTGACCAGATTGGTCTTAACTCTTTTGAAATGAGGATTGCTCATTTTTTTAAAAAAAAGGACAGATCCACTGCAACGACAAAAACAATAACAACTTGCATTTACAATAATAATAAGCCTTGCCTTTGATATTACGCCTGATCACGTCTTTGAGACGTCTCAAAGCGCTTCACAGAATATACTGTAAAGTGAATTGACTGTATATATTGTGGGCGAAATGCAGCAGCCAATTGCACACAGCAGTGTCCCACAAAAAGTCATGGCTTGAATGACCAAATTTTTTTAAAGGAATTATTACCCCTGGTAAAGCGATCCGCCAATCGACCAACAACCGGGTTCCTACTTACTGCTAGGTAAACAGAGGCATGTGGAGTAAGGAAACTTATCGAATGATTTGTCCTGCTCAGGAATTAAACCCAGGTCCTCTCACTTGTGAGGCAAGTGCTATAATCACTATGCTACACGACTCCATTTATATAGGGTTTTCATGCGAGGTAGCAATTTAAGAGCACCATGATGAATTTTCTGTGAGTGGGTTCTCAATCCAGTGTTCTCATTTCATCTTATTGAAAGCATTGCCTCATACCGGAGTCTGGTTTCATAGAAGCTGGTGATTTGCCAACAATTGTGAACTGAGATGCCTTGTTCCCAATTTGCAGGACCAATTGGCCCAGGATATGTGTGAATGACACACAAGTTTGGATGTATACTGGTACCACATGCACATCATAACTCATTTATTTTACCTTGAAATGTAATCCAAAATATGGGCGATGTAATTTGGAACATATGACCTGCACAGGAAGTTGCAAAATTAGGTTTCCAGTGAGTGGTTATGTGGCAATGTGGATATTCTAAGATTACTCAATAGTTGTATGATGCAACTCAGTTCATCTATGTCTATAACCAAGTTGTGTACTTTGGTTTAGGTTAAAAATAGAAATCTCATTCTTCCTGTATTGCAAAGTTCCTTGCTTTTTTTGTGAAATGACTCTTTTGCTCTAAATAGCTTTTAATTTTGTAGAGATTATCTCAAAATGCTTTACAAAAATGGAGTGAGAGACTGAGCTGGGAAGGAGGTTCCTGGGAGGGGGATCTAGGGAGATGTTGTTTGAAGACGCAGGTAAAGATAGATTCTAGCAGAGAGGAAGGGGGTGAGATAGAGGGATTTGGGAAGAAAGTTGCAGAGGGAAAATTGGATTCAGCAGTGGTGTAGAACAGGCAGGGGAATGAAGCAGGCCACAGAATTGCAGAAAATTGCAGTGGCGAGGATGCGGACAGACCTTTGAGATAATTGAAGGTGAGGCAAACATCTTAATGTTGATCTACTAGGAGGCGGGAAGCCAGTGAGGATGATGGTGATAGACTTGGGGAGCTTAGTGCAGGGAGAATGCAAACTGGCATTCTGGATGATCTGGAGCTTGTGGAGGATGATGCTCATGGGGAAGCTGGTGAACAAACCATTGAATGAGTCGATGTGACAAAGAGATAAATAAAGATTTTGGCTATGTTGGGATGAGGTGATGGTTTCGGCAAGTAATGTTGTTGGAGATGTCAGAGCTCTGATGAATAATAATAAATCTTACATTACCTAAAATTCATCCATGGATTCATCCCACCCTAAATCTGTGACCTCCTACAACCTAATATCTCCGCTCAGTGAACACTGGCCTACTTCATGTCTCTGCCCTATCTGCCCCACCATTGGTGGGCGAGTTTTCAGCTATTCTGCTCCTGCTTTCTGAAACTTCCCCAGCTCACCCTCTTCATCTCCTACCCACCAACTCGGGTGCCCAGCCAGCAGTGTCAAGCATGTTGATACATCCTGGATTCTGAAAAGAGCCATAGAAATGTAAATTGCATCGCATTGAATTTGATATGGCAAATTAACGCATTAACCTTCCAAAGTGCTTCACAGATTATTTCTGTGAAGAGTAGTGACTGTGTATTTGGAGGTGAACACAGCAATCAATTTGTGAACAACAATGTCCCACAAACAGTGATGAAGTGAATAACCATTTTTTTTACACTGGGTATTGACACAGTTAGAAATCCTTCTCTTTTTTGAAAGTGACATGGGTTCTTTAACGTCCATTAAATGGCAGACAGAACCTCAATTTAGCATATCATCTGAAGAGCCAGGAGTGAAAACAAGGAAAGTGTGGAACCATAGGGGGTATCAGGGAGAAGAGACTGTGGGGAAGGATAGAGTACTCAACAATGTAAAAGCAAGTAGAGAGATAGAAGAGAACAAGGAGCCCTGGTTGTAGATGGAGAGGATGTTTGTGACTTTGATCAGGGCTGCCTCAGTACTCTGGGTGCAGTTGAAGCCTGATTGGAAAGACTCACTCAGAAACTGGTGGGAGAGGAAGGAGCAAACCTGAGAGACGACACGTACTAAAATCTTGGAGAGGAAATGAGAGCTAGAGATTGCCGGTAACTGGTGAAAGAATAGTCAGATCTGCTGTTGTACTGCAGGGCAACTCTGACATCAGACTATTTTTGTAAAAGAGCACATTGTTTCTAATATTTCAGGATCGCTTCAGGTATTTATGAAAATGTTAAATGTTAGTCGATTGGCGGATCGCTTTTCTGGGGTAATAATTCTTTGAAAAAAATTGTGTCCCTTCAATCTATAACTGTTTGTGGGACACTGCTGTGCGCAATTGACTGTCATGTTTTGCCCACAAAATATATAGGCAATTCACTTTACATTATATTCTGTGAAGGGCTTTGTGATGTCTTGAAGATGTGATAAGGCGCTATATCAAATGCAAGGATTATGTATTATTAAATGTAATTTATAACTATTTCTGCTTGCTAGACATTCCCCAGGATGTAACAAATAGACGTTACATGCCTGTATGGGAAGACTGAAGACAAAATTACAATTATAGAGCGCCTTTTACGTCAGGAGGACATCCCAAAGACCTTAGCAAGCCGGAAAAGTTAACCCATTATTTACTATTATTTATTATTTACGTAACTAAACTGTAGGTCATTTGGCTGAGTAGAATTGTGTCAGCTGTGGTCTAGTGTGGAGAATGGACACAGTGACTCCAGTTTAACAACAATAATAAAATTACATTTGTGTAGCACCTTTCACATCAGTGCCAAGGCGCTGGACAATCAGTCTGCCAATTTCGGACCCGAGCTCGGGATCGGGGAGAGTGGAGGGCATGGTGGGGCAGGAGGGTGACTGAAGGCACCATCAAAGAGGAGGGTCCTGAAACGGGTCTTGAAGGAGGCAAGGGAGGGGGCGAGGTGGAGGGACTGCGGGATGGAGTTCTAGAAAGTGGGAGCAGAGTGCCAAAAGGCCCGCCTGCCAATGGTTGGGCGGACGAGGCGGGGGATGTGAAGCAGGCCAGAGCCCGCTGAGCCGATGGAGCAGGCAGGTTGGTAGTGGGTTAGGAGGTGGTAGTGATAGGGGGAGCAAGACCATGGAGGGCTTTGAATGTGAGGACCAGGATCTTGAACTGTATCCTCTGTATGATGGGAAGCCAGTGGAGTCGGGTGGGGATGGGGGTGATAGGGTCGCGGAGCCCGGTGCAGGAGAGGTGAATGATCTGCAGCCTTTGGAGGGAGGAGTTGGGGAGACCAACAAGCAGGGAGTTTGCATAGTCAAGCCTGGATTCATGAATGTGTGTATAAGGGTTTCAGCGGCCTGTGGAGTGAGACAGTGGTGGAGCCGGGTGATATTGTGGAGGTGGGGGAAGGCAGAGCGAGTCATGGCATGGATGTGGGATAGAAAGGAAAGTTGTGGGTCAAACAAAACTCTAAAGTTCCGGACTGGCTTAGCAAGTGTGCAACCATGGATGGTGATGCTGTCAGCGCCTGTGGTGTGGAGGGATCTAATCAGGAGAGCCTCGGTCTTGTTGATGTTCAACTGAAGAAAGTTAGCTCTCACTCAGGACCTTGACCTTACACATATCTGCATTTGCTACCCCCAATGAAACCTGGATGTAGTACTTTCCTTTGATCTGTCAACAAACAGTCGTAAGTGGAACCTTTAATACCCTGCATTTAATTTTATATCAAGCTCAATTTTTTATCTGGTTTCTTCCTGTTCTCCTCCAAGTGACTAAACCATACAGCACTCTGCAAGAACACCAATTGTTAGGTAGCAGTAATGTCCATGAAAGTCCATTTTGAATGCCATTAAATTGAACAACATCTTCTTCCTTATTTATCAGTGATTCAAATTATTCAGTTCTAGCATAAATTCCAGTGCGGGGGTGGGTGAGTGGGGGCTGTTGGGGGGGGGGGGGGGGGGGGGCTGGTTAGGGCCATTTGCATTGTTGGAGGTGTCATGTCATTCTTTGAATGAGATGTTACACTGAGGTCTTGTCTGTATGCTTTGATGGGTATTAGAGAACTCAAAGTACTATTCGAAAAGAGAAAGCATTTTCTCTAAGTTCTGGCCAACAATCCACCAGATTTTAAAAAGATGAGTTATTCACTTCATGTCTGTGGGACATTATTGTGCACAAACTTGCCACACCTACAAAAACACAGTCAACAGACTTTACAGAAAAGTTTTGACATGACAGGGCACTATGTAAGAAGATTATTACAACAATTGTATATTAAATCTGTAAGGCTAAGTGCTCCTCATTTTTTTTGTTCCTTAATCCATTGCCTAAGGAACTCATGTCATTCCAAAATTATTCTCTTCAATAAACTTTCTCTCGGTGGATGACCTCTGTGCCTACGTTAGTCCTTGACCTTACATGCACCTACATTTGCTATCCCCAGGGAAACCTGGATATAGTACTTTCATTCGATCTTTGTTGTTTCAAAAGTAGGTAATATAACAAAACAAACACAAAACACAACATAAACCTGTTAGATTGGCATGGGAGGCAATCATATCGCTTGGTTGTTCCTGAATGTTTCTTAATAGCCTATTCTTTAGGTTTTTAATTATGCAACAGGTTAATTATCATACAAAAGATGTCCAAGTACAGATATAAATACCTCTGTTCCAATTTGTTCTCTAGGCCTCTAATTGTTACAGGAGGTTAGTTTTTCACACAACAAATGTACTTGTATAATTACTGCTACTTTATAATTATGATTGCTTTATGCCTCTAACTTTGATTTTATATTTGTATTATATCTAGGGTTACTATCGTAACAGTGACCTCTTGTTTTTGTCTTGTGACCATTATAATCCTTGCATTTTCTATTTACTTCCTTTCACTAATCCTTCAATTCATTTGATCCATATGCTTTCCCCCTTTGTTATTCCCTAAGTTTCTTTCATCTGTCCATTCACTAAATTCTCCCTTGGCAGAAATCTGAATTATGTGTCCAATATCAGAATATACGCTAAAGTGAATTGACGGTATATTTTGTGTGAGAAATCCCGCAGCTAATTGCATACACACATTCATGGATTGAGTGACCAAATTATGATTATTTATTTATTTTTACTTATTCATTTTTGAAGTGATTATTACTCCCGGAAAAATGATCCGCCAATCGACCAACAACCATTTTCCTACTTACTGCGAGGTAAGCAGAGGCGTGTGGAATAAGGAAACTTGCCCAACGTTTTGCGCTATCCGGGAATTGAACACAAGTCTTCTCGCTTGTGAGGCGAATTCTCTAATCATTAATCTACAGTCATGGCTGTTGATGGACTTTTAGTGTATGTAAATTGGCCGCTGCATTTGAAGACATTGGGAAACATTATTTCACTATGCAGACAGTGTATTGCAATTTCTTGGTTAGGGAGGTTAGGACAGAATATATAAGTCATAGCAGTGTTTGACATAACGTAGCTCTAGAGTGTTAGGGTGACAGGACACCTTGGAACCAACATGCCCTTTTCTTCTTACAGTGCCCTTTTCCAGGTCTGCTCAATTATTTGGTTTGTAAGCCTTCAGAAGCCACTTCCACTCCAGTGATTGCTAGATTCACATGTCTTGTTAAGTTGCTCAAAAACTTATTTATGTAACCCTATCAACTCAGATTCTGATTGACTCAATAACCTGGCACTTTATGGTTATTGCATTCTGTAAAATACTCTGTGATCACAATATTGCTGTGCTATCCCATTCCAGTGCTTGCAATAAACCATTTTGGTGAATTTTACTGCTAACACACAGCTTCCAAAATTTTGACCCCAGTTACCTCACTTTACAGCAATTCCCTGTGAAGTGATTTGAGATGTTTCTGCATTATGGGTGCTGTATCAAATGCAAGGATAATGATATTACTGTTTTGCCATCAATGTGGGCTGGATTTTAAACTCATGTTCTGGAGGCAAAGACTTCACCAATACACCCTCAATGTTCTATGCATTACTTTCATAAAGGTTAGCATGTGGATATAATAATCCCTACATTTATGACACTTCTGTTCTACTAATGTTCTGTGCATTACTTTCATAAAAGTTAGCATGTGGATATAATAATCCTTACATTTATGACACTTCTGTTCTACTAATGGATTTGTTTTTGCTTTCTTTTAGGAATGCAGCTGTTTTTCTGAAAAGGGATAGGAACCGTATTGGACGTAAATACAAAAAGGCCATCTATAAACAGTTTACTGATGAAACATACACCACTGAGATTCTTAAGCCAATTTGGCTGGGATATCTTGGCCCACTGCTGAGGGCAGAGGTAGAAGACGTGATTGTTGTTCACCTAAAGAACTTTGCATCCCGCCCTTATTCTCTGCATCCACATGGAGTTTTCTATGAAAAAGATTCTGAAGGTAACTTTGCTAAGAGCATGTGCAATATTTGTGTACACTTGAGTTGGGAATTCATTGAGCTAAACTGGTAGTGTTAAAATCAGCAAAAGTATTGCTTACTGTGTTTTGGGCTCTTGAAGAGCTTATAGAAATAATTGAATATTCAGCATAAATACAATGAACAATTCCCTTTAATAATTATACTATTGTACATTGTATATGTGGTCACAACTAGGGAAAAATTTCATCCATATTAGTGTAGCACCGTTGTCGATGCACAGCTTTAATGGCAAACCATAATTCCTTCAAAAAAAATTGGTCACTCAATCCATGACTGTTTGTGGGACACTGCTGTGCGCAATTGGTTGCCACATTTCACTGAAAAAAATACAGTCAATTCACTTTACAGCATATTCTGTGAAGCACTTTGAGACATCTCGAAGACGTGATAAGGCGCTATATCAAATGCAAGGATTATTATTATAAATCATATTAGTGACAAATTTGATGCACGTAACGCTGAGTGGAACTTTTACATCAAGGCCAGGATATACCTGCATTTCACTTTTTTTTAGTCACGAGGAGCATTGGTGCAGTGAGTCTAAGGGAGAGTCCAAGGAGGTTGAGGAGTTTAGATCCGCAGGATTGAAGATGTTGATGGGAACCAAAGAGTATGGTTTCTGCCTTGTCCACATTCAGCTACAGGAAGTTTGCACTCATCCAGGCTGTGATGTCTGCCAGACAAGCTGATAGAACATTGTATACATGAATAATTTGGTTTCAGGTATAAGAGGGGTAATGTCAAAATTTACGAATGACACCTTGCTGTGGTCATGGTAAGAAGTGAAGGGGATTGCAGAAGTATGTAGGAAGACATAAGCAGGCTAGCAAAATGAGCAGACATATGGCAAATTAAGTTTAATGTAGGAAAACACAAAGTAATTCACTTTGGCAGGAAAAATAAAGAAGCTGTCCACAGTCTAGATGATAGGAACCTAAGAATAGTAGAGAAGCAAAAAGATCTGGGGATTCAAATCCACAAATATTTGAAAGTAGCTGAACAGGTAATTAATGCTATAAAAAAGACCAATGGGGTTTGGGGCATTATATCCAGAGGGATAGAATATAAAAGTGAGAAGATGATGTTGAATTTATACAAAACCTTAGTTAGAGCACATTTGGAGTAAGTCTCCACACTATAAGAAGTTGTATAGCAGTGATGGAAAAAGTAGTGTGGTTTACGAGGATGATACCAGGGCTGACAGATTACTGCAATAAAGATAGACTAGATAGGTTAGGCATTTTTGCTGGAGAAGAGACTTTTAAGGCCTAGCAGAAGGTTCCCTCCCTTAAATGTCTTATAACATTTCTAATTATACAAGAGTTGATGAAGTTAGGATAATTAGACTGTTTCCATTGGTTGGGGAGTCCGTAACCATATGACACAAAGATAGCGACTAGGGGATCTAAAAGAGAATTTAGCAGGAACAACTTTATGCAGAGGGAAGTGAGAAAGTGGAATTTGTTGCCTAAAGTGGTGTTTGAATCAGATAGTATTGTAGAAGCTAGACCTCTGCATGAGGAATAGGGGAATAGAATGCTATGGAAGGGAGTAAGGAATGGGTGAAGACTCCTGTATAAACACTGGCACAGAATGCTTGGGTCGAGTAGCCTGTTTCCTTGCTGTACATTGTTCGTAATTCTTACACTTTCACATCTGGGAATTAACTTCAGACAAATCTCCATGATAAGGAACATCCACATTTTGTATATATGTAGCTTTCTGCCATCTAACACAAACTAATTGGTAGAGGAGAATAGAATGACTTTTGAATCATATGTAGTCCTATTTGGTTATTCTTTGAATTTGACCCATTGCATGTGATGTTTATCTTTTAGCTCAGATCCACCTGTGCTCCTAAGGTCACAGTTGGATTCTTCTGTCCATTCACGGTTATATGGTCCTGCTGCAACATTTTCTTTAGTACCTTCAGGCATTGCTGTCACTAAAGCAATTCAGGTATAAGGGCAATCTCTCCAGGTGTTGCTATTTGAAGCAATACATTCAGGCTCCTTTAATATGGCAAACTTGGTTATTGGGGAGTCTTCTGTGGGTTAGTACCAGCATTTGACTCTTTCCAACCTGCACCTAATACTTTCAGGGATCAGGAAAGCAGGGTGTTCTCTCCAGGGAGAGAGGGCACATTCCATTCCAACAATCTATCTCTGGAATTTCCATATATAGTAATATAATAATAATACTTGCATTTGATATAACACCTTATGACATCTTTGACATGTCTCAAAGCATTTCATAGAATATATGGTAAAGTGAATTAGTTTACTGTATATCTTGTGGGCGAAACGTGGCAACCAATTACGCACAGCAGTGTCCAACAAATGGTGGTGGATTGAGTGACCACATGTTTTTTAATGGATTATTACTCCCAGAAAACCTCCAATTGACTAACAACCAAGTTCCTCCTTACTGCTTAGTAAACAGAGGCATGTGGAGTAAGGAAACTCCCCAGGAATTGAACCCAGGTCCTCTCGCTTGTGAGGCTAGTGCTCTGACCACAAAGCTACAGGAATCCACCTGTAGATGGGATGCATGGAATTTTCAGTTTGGTTTGGATACTCTTAAGCAGTTTCTGGATGAGTCAGACACCCGGCTGACCCCAAACCAATGTGTGTTTGGAAATTTCAACCTTTCCTGTAATAACTATTCTTTACACAGCTGTTATTTGAAATCATTCAAAACATTCAGTAAGATCATATTTAGCCTCTAATCCATTCATTGCATTCCTCATCTGCTGGAGAGCAAGGGAAGGAGTCGCTGAGATTTGTTTGTAATAATTTTGAGTTTATCATCCTTTTCAGTGTAAGTAAACTACTGAGCAGTATTTTCTCACCTTGAGATTCCTCACAAGGAGCATAAACATTTTAGAGAACACAGACTGTGACCAGCATTAAATGCCGAATGTCTGAGGAACTAGAGTAAGATTGTTACAGCTAATTCTATTTTGAGCATATTCCTTTAAGAGTCATCGGATGGTGCAGGGCTGGAACAGTAATACACCAAATCTGACGTGTTTGCACCATGTGATTCTGTTTGGACAGACTGGTGCACAATGATGAATCTTTGTTGAATAGCACACTGTTGTTCCAAAGAATATGCTGTAGGGTGGCAGTGGTGGGGTTGATTTATCCTCGTATCCTCTTGCCTCTGCCAGTTTTGCAGCTGCTGTATTTTTATTCTCTACTGAAGTGTGAAAAGCAGGGAAGTAGATAGTGACGGTTGTCTAGAGGAAAAGTGAAAATATAGGTTAATTACAGACAATTTGTTTACAGTACTGTAGTCTATTTATTGCCAGGGTAGAACAATTTTGGGAAAGGTCTGTGAAAAGGAAGGATAGCACCTTGATTTTGGCAACTGGGGAATAAGGATAAGGGAGAAAAAGCTGAAGAAAAGAGGAGTTAAAGGGAGTTGTGTGTGGAGCTGTGCAGAATAACTAACCAGCAGGGTGTATAATATGTTCTAAATTGTTACAGGAAAGGGGATAATTGAAAAAATGCTCAATAAAATTCTTGAAACTCTAGTCATTTGATGGATAATTAATCATTAACTTTTTTTTAAAGAATAAACAGTTAAATGATGCACGCTTGATCTGTTGATTTTGCTGGGACACGATTGTTATTTTTTAGCTGAGTGAGTGAGTGGAGGTAAATTGGCTGACAGTGTAATTCCTACTGAATCTCCCCCCTATGTTTTGGATTCCTCGAACTCTATGAATTCTAGAGGTTAGAGGTTAATTAAATTTGTCTGTACTGGAGCATTGGTATTTCTGTTGAAAAATATAGTCCAGCATTTTAGTAGTCAGATACTTCATAGAGGAACAGGTTTCATAAATGCAGTTTATTTTGTTACAGGATTTTAACCTCTGACACTTTTGACCTCTGAGTCCTGTAGAATATTGGTTTAAAGCACTCGCCTCTCAAGCGAGAGAACCTGGGTTTGATTCCCGGGCAGGGCGAAACATTAGGCAAGTTTCCTTACTCCAGTTGCTTGTTAGTTGATTGGTGGATCGCTTTTCCAGGGGGTAATAATCCCTTCAAAAAAAGAATAATAATAAAAATTAATAATAAAAAAAATAATAATATGGTGAATCAGTCCACATCTGTTTGTGAGACACTGCTGTGTGCAATTGTCTGCCATGTTTCACCCACAAAATATATAGGCAATTCACTTTACAGTATATTCCGTGAAGTGCTTTGAGATATTCCAAAGACACAATAAGGCACAATATCAAATGCAAGGATTATTATTATATAGTCACACTTTACAGGAAACTCTGTGACATACTTGTTATATTATTTGGAAATATTTATTATCTATAGTATAAAGCAGCCAAAATTAAAGACACCAAAGCGTCCAGAGGCACATAGTATAAATGGCCCCTGAGTAGGGAGACCGAGTCATGTGATATGGAGACTGATGGATGTACATTCCTTTTTCTCCACTCCAATAAAAGACAACCTACTTAAGACAACACCTGCCTTTGTCTCCCAACATATTACACTAACATATTTCACCATGACTAGGTACTTTACCAAATATAAGGCTTATTCATATTATTATTCCCCCTGGGTAAAACTGGTCATATGGCTTTTGAAAGACCTTGAAGGCATTTGAGATCAGTATGTTTTAGCAATTATTTTAGCAAATTCTAAAATTTAATTCATAGACTGGAAGTTTAGGGTGTCAGCGTGGCCTAATTAAATCACTCTCACCTCTATGTCATGTCAAGACTTTGAACTCACAGGCTGGCACTCCAATGCAGTGCTGGGGGTGTGTTGCATTGTTGAAACTCCCGTCCTTCGGATGAAATGTTAAACCAAGGCTCCTCCTGCTTGTTCAAGTGGACTTTAAAGATCCTTTGATTCTCTTTGAAAAGAGAAGAGTTTCTCCCAGTGTCCTGGCCAACAATCCGTCAGATTAAGTTGTTGAATTACTCCTTGGGTATTGCTGGGACATTGCATTGCAAACAATAGAAGAATTGAAGCTCTTCCAAAGGCTGTTTGATCAGTTTTGGTCAGGTGAACATTTGCGTGACAAGCACACAGTCATTACACTTTACAGGCAACTCTGTAAAGTACTTTGAGATGTTTTGATACTAAAGCCACCATGGCACATGCAATAATTATTATAATTTGCTAAAAGTGCAGTGATATCTGGTTTGCAGATATTGTTGATTTATTTCTTGGTAACCATGCACATCGGTTACAGTGTAACTCTTTCATGTATTTCAGGTGCTCTCTATCCTGATGGTACGTCGAGGAAGCAGAAGCTGGATGATGCTGTGCCACCAGGAGGAACCCATGTGTATACATGGGTGGTTAAGAAAGAGTATGCACCTACCAAGGATGATGCAACTTGTTTAACCTGGATTTACCATTCACACATTGATGCTCCAAAAGATATTTCCTCGGGTTTGATTGGGGCAATGTTAACATGTAAAAAAGGTATGATATGGCACTGGGCATTCAGCCGTTTGGAAACACTACTGTCGGAGTCTCACAGGCTATCTTAACACAAACATGTACTTTGTTACAAAATGATAACATTTTCTTAGTGCCCAATTAATGACATGAAAACACTTAAATGTCTTCATATAGCCCTTTAGATTTAACCAAACTACTACATGCTTTCTTTTTAGCATATCATAGATATGAAAGTGTGACCCATGTTATGAAGATTTAAGATCTAGATTAAAATACAGCTATTGTCTTGTAAAGGTGAAATTGTGTTGGTGGCCTAAGGTTCACAGTTACTTTAATGTCACTGCCTTTGCTTGGGGCTGAGTCCCCATGAATTTAACATCAGTTATTCATTTGTTTGTTTAACACAGTATTTGATCCTTTGGGAGCTGAGTACACTGTTGATCAGTTTAGGTATCCACACTGCTTGGGACTGGCCCCTCTGCAGATAAACTGAAAGTGGCGATAATTTGACAATATGCAAAATACAAATTGACAGCACTAACGTAAACAAAGTTCCATCAGGAGTTATACTGTCATTATAGTATCACACTATGACAGTCATTCTCTCACTCTCTCTATTCTCCTTCAGACTTTTTATCATTTTTATTTTTTTCTGCTGTCACTGCCCTCCTCAAAAATCCTTCCCTTGATTCTTCCAGCTTTGCAAACTACTGGTCCATCTCAAACTTTCCTTTCATTTTATTATTATTGTTATTTCTAAAGTCCTGGTATGTGTTGTTGCCGACCATCTACACTCCCACCGCTCCCTTCACTATCACAACAAAATTGCATTTGTATAGTGTCTTTCACGTCGGGAGTATGTCCCAAGGCGCTGCACAACCAGTGTTTCGGATCCGAGCTGGGGGGGTCGGGATTAGGGAGGGTGGAGGGTAGGGTGAGGGGTGGCCAAAGGCATGGTCGAAGAGGAGGATCTTGAGATGCGTCTTGAAGGAGGCAAAGGAGGGCGAGGTGGAAGGACCGTGAGATGGAGTTCCAGAAGTTGGGGGCAGAGTGGCAGAAGGCCCGCCCACCAATGATGGGACGGGCGAGGCGGGGAACATGAAGCAGGCTGGAGCCCGCTGAGGGGAGGGAATGGATAGGTTGGTAGTGGATTAGGAGGTGGCAGAGGTATGGGGGAGCAAGGCCAGGGAGGGCTTTGAAGGTGAGGACCAGGATCTTGAACTACCTACTTGAGCCCCTCCAATCTGGTTTCCGCCCTTTCCACAGTACTGAGACGGCGCTCATCTCAGTCACAAATGATGCCCCCTCTCTTTCTGTGACAAGGGGTCCCTCTGCCTCCTTGTTGTCCTGGACCTCTGCACTGTCTTCGATACAGTTGATCATGTCATTCCCCTCGACTGCCTCTCCTCCCTCATTCACCTTAATGGGACTGCACACTCCTGGTTCGAGTACAACTTGACCCACTGCCATCACTACATCTCTCGTAATGTTTTTTCCTCCAGCCCCACCAGATCCCACATGATGTACCCCAAGGCTCCATCCTTGACCCTTTCTTTTCTTGATTTACATGCTCCTTCTCAGCGGTATCATCCGCAGACATGGGGTCAACGTCCACATACATGAGGACGACACTCAAATCTGCTTCTCCTCCTCCAACTTTGACCCCAGTTCCACCGATGTTCTGTCAGACATAAAGATCTGGATGAACATCAACTTTTGGCAGTTAAATATTGACAAAATGGAGATTTGTCAACATCTTCTCATCTGCTACTCCGATCTCCTTAACCTCCCTGGCCTATCCCTAAGACTCATCAAACCTACCCATAACTTTGGCATTAGGATCAATCCCATGCTGTCCTTCCTACACCATATCCAGGCCCTTACCAGGACCGACTATGTCACATTGCCCTCCTCCAACCATACCTCATGCCCAACACAGCCAAAACCCTAATCCACACATTCATCACCTCCCACCTCAATTTTTCCTATGCCCTCCTCGTCAGCTCCACCATTCATAAAGTCCAATTAATTAAAAACTCCATGCCCGTATACACATCTGCCATAAACTCCATACTTGCCAGGTTCCATTGGCTCCCTATCATAAAACAAATTGATTTTAAAGTCCTCAGCTCACATATAAATCATTTCTACCCTGGCACCTCTCTACCTATCCAACCTTACAACCCATTCCACTAACTGCCACCTTCGCTCAGCTGACTCCAGCCTCCTGCACATCCCTCATCCCCTCCACTCTACCATTGGTGGTCTTGCTTTCAGCCACTATGTCCCAAAACTATGAAACTGTCTGCCTCAGTCCCTCCGCTTTGCCTGTCTTTAGATAATGCTTGAAGACCTTCTTCTTTGACTGTGCCTCCCCAATCTCCCTGGCTCGGTGTCGAACTCCATCACTGTCAAGTGCTCCGACATGCTACCCCACATGAAGGGCACTGTTTAAATGCAAATTGTTGTTGTTCTCTCTCTAAACGTCTGTGTAAGTATGTGCCTCTTTATCTATGTGTGTCTTTCCCTGAGTGTCTCTCTCTGAGCGTCTCTCTAACTTTGCACCTTTCTGTCTCTACAATATCTCTTCTCAAACCCTAATGTAAAAGACGAAGAAAATGTCATTGAATATGTGCACAGTTAGTTGTAGGCATAAGTAGGAAGTTGCCAGGTCAGTGTATTCGTGGGTATCCTGCACACAGCTTGGCACATGCTTTCTACTTGGGTGACATATTGCAAGACTGTGTCTACCTTCTGCAGCAGAATCCAAGCGGATAAACAGATTTGTGAATAACTGGTGTTCTATTTTAGTAAGAGCTTTTAGAAAAATAGTCTTATGTTTTAGTCCCAGCAATAACGTAATGTGGAACACAAATTCCAACTTGTTTTTCTGATAGCAACCATACCCACAATTTCCTTGTCTGCCCTGGGGGTGAATAACAGCTTTCGGTAAATGGATTGTCATTATTAAGTAAATGAGTAAGTTTTAATTTCCTCCCAGTGGGTTTCTAGCAATGCAACATTTTTTTTTACCTTATTCTTTACTTGAAGTAAGATTAAAAGCTCCTTCCTGATTCTGCTTCAATGACCACAGGAACCTTGGATGCTAATACACTGGGACGTAAAGATGTTGACTGGGACTTTGTGTTAATGTTCAGTGTTGTGGATGAAAATTTCAGCTGGTATCTGGATGATAATATAAATAATTATTGCACTGAACCATCTTCAGTTGACAAAGATGATGAAGATTTTCAGGAAAGCAACAAAATGCACGGTGAGTGCTGTTATGTGTCTTTACCAATCTTATAGAAACTATTTTTGCAAGTTTACCACTCAACACCTTGATACAATGGAAGGAAATGGATATTGCTGTGATCAATATAGATGCAGTTGACTGCAGTTTCAGAGGAATAAACTCACTTTTGATTTCCATTTGATGGTAGTGTGATTATACTTGGATGAATTTTTTTAGGTCAGCCACACGCAGAAACCTATCACTATGCTCAATACTAACCAAACCAGACCGAAAATTCCACATGTACATGGATGAATCTAAAATTCCACATGTATGTATGCAAGAACATTTATCTGTGCCTGGAATGGAATGACTTTGGTGAAATGAGCAAATAATGTGCAAGGTCCTCGTAATTACCATAGAACAGATTGTACATTTTAGCTCTTTAATTTATGGAGTCAACTTGTATTATCTGGAAAGGCTGAATCTACATTCCACATCTGCTTACAGAATACAGTCTAACTACACGCTACAGTAAACCTTGTGCAATGCTTTGGGATGTCCTCCAAATTTGAAAAATGCTATATCAAATGCAGGGATAATTTTATTCTAATAATGTGCCAGTGGTATCCAATTTCTTCTCAATTCTCTCGCGAAGAATGTGAGGTTATAAAATAATCCTTGCTTTTGATATAGTACCTAATGAAGCCCAAAATACTTCATACAGTTTTCTGTAAAGTGTAATAACTGTGTATTTGAAGACAAATGTATTGACCAGTTTGCTATAAGAATGTCTCACTAGCAGCCATAAAGCAAATGGACATTTTTTAAAAATCTGGATTGTTTGGCAGGACAATGGAGAAACTTCTTTCTCTTTTCAAAGAGTACCACGGGATTTCTAACATCCACCCAAAATGATTATATTTTAAAAGGGGACCTCAGTTTGATATCTTTTCCGAAAGATGGCAACTCCCAACAATGGGAGCACTCCCTCATCACTGCTTTGGAATATCGGCCTAGAATATGAACTTAAAGGGCTGGAATTTGGGGCCGGAACCAACAATCTTGTGATGAAAGTGCTACCAACTGAACTAGCTTAACAACTTTGTAGATTATACTATAAATAAGTGCCCTTTGCAGAAACATCTTAATAGTTCTCAAACAGTTTTCTTCACTGTTGTGTTCCCTTTACAATTACAAGTAAATTGTGAATAATAATTCAGAACTTAGCTTTACAACACCCATGCCCAGGCAGGCACACCTATGACATATCAGATATCAAACTGTCTCATTGCAATTCCATTGCAAATATTAATAGTCCTATTATCATCTTGACAGTAAATGTATTCATATTGGAGGGGGAGGGAGGTTACAATTGGATATCACTGAAATAAAATTTAGCTCATTTTCAGAAATTAATATTGAAGGATTAATACTGGGTTACAGTACAGTATCGGAACACTTTGTTTATGCTTTGTAAGAACCTACTGGTGAACAGTAGTCAGGATAAATGTACTTGTGGTTTTCTTACTGTACTGCAAGAGATTTTTATCACGGGGTCTTTAAAATATAATTAATTAATGCACATTATACTCTGATGCATCTGTATTGATAGATTTTAGATTGATGTTATTTACTTAAATGTAGCAGTTGTATTAGGTGACAAATGCAACCCGTGATGTGTTAATTAAAACGTGATAAGGCGCTATATCAAATGCAAGTACTATTATTATTATCACTGATAATAAATGACAGGTCAGTATCTAAACATTTATTGTGGGTGTGAGAGGTTGCCCTCCGCACCCTGCCCTCAACTTCATCACGATGGTTGGCCTAAAACGAGGGCATGACACCATTGGGCGACCCAAGTTCAGATAGCTGGTATTGAAGTGCTGTGGAACATTGCCTTAAGTTTGATTTTGTTTCTTCAGTTAAACTGGTATCCCACTAACCAGCACTCCAATGCTGTATTCTGCAATTTAGGAAGCATAACTACTGTGATGAAGTTGGTGGGGCAGTCATACCTGAGGCCGGTCTATAGTTATCGACTGTCCTTAGTTGTCATCTGGCTTTGTTGCCCACGTTTATCAACAATGGGATAAGATGTCAAAGGTTCCAATTTACACTCTGTTGTACTTCTGGCTATGAAGGTCATTTGTGCCATCGTTTATTTGAATTTTGAAGTCAACACCATCTTATTTTAGTCTGTCTTAAAATATTTTGCCTTCAAATACTTTGGAACCTGTGATGTTGAATTTAATCTACAAATTTGCAAACTTGCACGCTTAAAGGGATTTTTTTATATCACCTTTGTAAAAATAAATAGGTAACCAGAAATAACCCTCAAACATCAGAATACATTTTTCCCAAAGCTTTTTTATGCCTTTTCCCCAAGTTTCCAGCTCAAAGTGATTATATTTATGAATTTAAACTGAAATATGAAGAGAACTCAGAAATATTACTTAATGCTGCCTCTTGTTCCCTCTCCTCAGCTATCAATGGCTATCTGTATGGAAATCTAGTTGGGCTTGAAATGTGCAGTGGGGAGTCAGTTTCTTGGCATTTGTTTGGAATGGGAAATGAAGTTGACGTGCACTCAGCTTATTTCCACGGCCAGACTCTCATTGATAGAGATCACAAAGTGGACGTCATCAGCCTTTTTCCAGCTACCTTTGTTACAGCAGAGATGGTCCCGAGGAATATTGGAAAGTGGTTATTGAGTTGTCAAGTGAATGACCATATTGAAGGTGAGTGGTTGACCCTCTGTATTTCATCAATCTGACTTAAAGTTAGATTAGAAATTCTAACTCCTTCATTGTTGGCATTCCAAGAATCATAATTCTATCAGTTTATAGAAGTTCTTTATAAACGCAGAATTTTTAGCACAAATTCAAACGTTGGTTATAAAAGGTACATTCAAGATATAACAGTCAAAAGAGCCGACAGTTGGGTAAAAATTCCCGGCAGCATTACTACACACACATTGGCTGTCAGGCTACAATGAGGGTTTGCATGGTACATCACCAAAGGACCCTGAACGGAAATTTTACCCTATGTGTTGAAGTGAACATAAATCTATATTTATTCTTAACTCTGTTTTTGTTTAATGAAGAATTGTGCATAGAATAAGTTTTGTAACTTAACTATATACGGTGGAAGCCGGTTAAGCCGGACACATCGGGAACAACGTTTGGTCGACCTTAAGAAGTGTCTGAGGTTAGCTGGAAATACCATTCCCATCCAGCAGAGGAGCCCCACCGATGCCGTATAACGATATGTAATAATGTTGTTTCACTTGAAGCAATGTTAACTAACCAGATACAGTTAAAATACTCTCACAGAATTCACTGAAGTATACTTACCTTTGTTTGGCTGCAAATTACAATTCAGTACTTTCCCACCCAGCAGTGGGGGAGGAGCTTCCTACCTCCCATTGCCTTTCCCAATGGATGGGAAGGGGACTGGTTTGCGGGAGCTTCGAGGTGATTGACAGCCTGCAGCGACTTGTGAATGGATGGGCTCCACCTAGTTACAAGTGGCTCAGCTGTCAATCAATCGTGATTTCCCCTCCCTTGTTGTTCCCTGTTGTTCCGCCCGCTCACAGATTGACAGCCCAACTCCAGCCACTTGTGAATGGCTGGTGTCTGCTGTCAATTGCAATTTGACTCATCCCATCTATATCCGAGAGTCCCTTGTGGCCGAATGGACCGAGTGAGAACATTCAGCGGTGACCAGAGCGTTTTTTTGCCCCAAATAACCAGATTTTAGTCCGAATCAACTGGTATATTTAAGCATAAATAGGTAAGAATACAAATGAATCAGTGCTGGGCGTTTTGTTCGATTTACCCGACGTCCGGGTTTAACCGATGTCTGTCAAAAGCAGATTCCACTGTATTCTCTTTTAAAATCTTAATAGTTTAGTGAAAGATGTGTGAGATTTATTTTATTTTGCAGCTGGAATGCAGACATTGTTTACTGTGAAGGTTTGTGGGGCGAATTCTACAGAAACATCACTGACTGGGAAAGAGAGGAAATACTTCATAGCGGCTGAAATGGATCTGTGGAAATATGCTCCCTCGACATACAATCAATTCACTAATCAGCCATTAGATGCAGAAGAAAGGTAATTTTTAAACTAATCTGAGACCCTAGTAGAATATTAGTGTGCACTTTTTTCCCTCTGCTGAATGCACTTACTAATGAACAAAAGTCTTGATTCAAGCTGTTGCTTCAGGGGAATGGGTCTGAATCCGTATGAGCATTATGTCATGGCCATGCATTTTTTGAACAGCCTTGAATACAATACATCTTAATATAATGATGCTAATAATAATAATAATCCTAGTGTTTGATATAGCACATTATCATATCATTGAGACATCAAAGTGCTTCACAGGACGTACTGCAAAGTCATTCTGGCTATGTGTTTTGTGGGCAAAATATATATATTCAGTTTAGTGCCTTTCTCACCGCCAGTGCACCCGAGCCATGAAGGGGGAGGAGAACTGAAAAGGGTTATGGGATGGAGAGTGGTGGGGGTGGGGGTGGAGAGATGATATTCCTATGCTCCGGTGATGACATATGGAACGGACTGACCTGACCAAATGCAGAGGGATCTGGATACTTATGGAATTGGACTGGCAAGTTCTAAATATTATTTAATGAGGATTAACGCAAAATAGTGAAATTGGTGAAGTAAAGGATGTAAATTAAACAATGTTAGTCTAGAGCACATAGAAGAATGGACAACTAAATTGATAGCTTTAACTATGAACTTGAACTACAGTGCTTATGCCCTCTAGGTCTGGTCTATACACACAGCACAAAAACTGCATTACCTATTATTATCCATTACACTCAGTACTTAGCAACATAGGAACAAAAGAAAGCTATTCATTAACAAAAATGCTAAACACTTATTGTTTAGCCTGGTCAGTGTCAGCCTACCTCAGTTGGTAGTGCTTTCACCTCTGTGTCAGAAAGTTAGGGGTTTAAGGCCCACCTTGGGACGTGGAGCCCATATGTCTATTATTGAAACTCCAGGTCAGTGCTGGGTGTTCGCTAAATTGTTGGAAGTGCCATCCTTCGGAAGAAACGAGATCTCATCTTTTATGTTCAGATAGACATTAAAAATCCCATGGCACTTTTCAAACAGAGATGGGAGTTTCTCCCAGTCCAACAATTCCTCAAATAAAATTGGTTACTGAACATTTTATTATCATAAAACAAATTGTTGGGATGTTGGTATTTATAGATGTACAGTTTTAATTTTCTTTTTGTATCTCCATTGTTCTTTTGACAGTGACTCTGAGCCTTTCTTCAAGAAAAGTACAGATCGAATAGGAGGAGAATACTGGAAAGTGCGATATGTTGAATACACTGATGAGAGCTTTAATACCAAAAAAAATAGATCAGCAGCAGAGGAACATCTTGGGATACTTGGTAGATATAACATTTTTGCTGGCAAATCAATTATGATATTGGGAAACAATCAAATAAAACCACACATGAATATTGTGTTTCTATTTATAAGGTCCGATAATCAAAGCTGAAGTTGGCGACACTGTTCTTGTCACATTTATGAATAAAGCAAACCAGCCCTATAGTATCCAGCCACACGGGATATTCTTCAGTAAGGAATCAGAGGGAACAAATTATGTCGATGGTATGTTTTTGTTTCATAAATGCTATTGATGAATTATGTTTTAGCTGTTCTAATGTCCTGGCTAACATTATAAATAAAACACAATATGAGACAGTGGTGTACACTTAAAATGCCCTCCTGATGTGAAAGGTGCTAAATAAATGTAAATTGTTGTTGATTTGATATAGACATTCTCCTTCAGTAATCAATGGGCTTTCATGCGATCTAAAACTTGGTGATATGAAACTAGATTATTCAATGAAAGAATCCAAATGAAGAGTGTTTACAGTAGTCAGAAGTGTGTCAAGCACATCACAGTACCTCTGTCGGACAGCTAAAGGCATTAGTGGGAATTCCTGTGAGTTGGTGTGAAGTACTTCTGGATTCCTTAATTAAACACAATCCCTTTATTTATGATTCAATTATTAATATAGCAATGGATCAACGTTTAAAGGTATATCAATTACTAAAAATGTATTTTAAAAGAGAAAGAAAGTCAAAAAGATGTTCCAAAATTTATTGGATCTAAAATTTAGTAACTATGTCAGGTTGATAGGACTCTGGCCTCTGAGTCCGATGATTATGGATTCAAGCCCTATGTCAGTACTTTGAACTCACAGTCTAGGCTGGCACTACAATACACTATTGGGGGAGCATTGCATTTTTGTAAGTGTCATTCTTCAAATGAGCTGTTAACTGGGGTCTTGTTAGCCTGATCAGACAGTGCTGTGGATCAGTCTGACACCTAATGTACATTTGCTGCATCATTCGCTTGCGCAGTACCACCCAACCACATACAGCCTGGCCAATACATATTGGTACAGTGTACATCTTCAAGGTATAAATGTATGAAGTAGCAGATGAACACAATGTAAAGTGGCTTGATTTGTGTAAATATATTCCATTTATTTTTATGTAAATGTTACACTTTGAAAAAAAACTCCTTGATTTGTGTAACATCATCACATCAATGTATTTTACAGTAATTATTGTCAAGTGACTGGGTGTTTGTAGACAGTTGGAATAGCCAATTTGTGTACATCAGGGTTACTATGTGAAAATGACCAATTAATCTGGAGTATTCTTGGCCAGAATACCGGGAGAAACTGCCTTCTCTTTTCAAATAGTGTCATGAGATCTTTAACATCCATCTAAAGAACAGGTAGACAGCACTTTTGCACAACTTCTCATCTGAAAGATGGCATTTCTGATAATGTAGCACTCCCCAGTACCAAACTGGATTAGAAGACTGGACTATCAGCTTTTGTTCCAACATGGGACTTGAACCCACAGCCTTCTGATTTACAGACAGCAGTTGAACCAACTGAGCCAAGTTGACATCTCATTTTATGTAAATGTAGTGCATTTAAAATGTATTTACCTTATGATTTCTTTAAAAAATGTTTTGTAATTTTGAAGGTTTTCAGAGGAAAGGAGGCCATGTAGAGCCTGGTAGTTTCTTCATCTATAAATGGACTGTGCCTGACCATGTTGGACCAACAAATACTGGTGACCCATCTTGCCTCACTTGGATGTACTACTCAGCCACTGACCCAGTTAAAGACACCAATTCTGGCCTTGTCGGGCCATTGATAGTCTGCAAACGAAATATGTTGACTCAAGGAGATTTACAGGTATGTTATATTAGACATGAATTTCAACCCTTTATTAATGTTATTATTTAGCATACTTATTTCTGAGAGAAAGAGTAAGGTATGATTTTATTTATTTTAATAAAGGATGGATTGCAAAGGATTTTATTCAGTCCTACATATTCCTTTGATTAATATGTTGGATGGCTTAGTATTGCCATTAGAATTTGGAAGTTATAAAGTAACTATGAAATCAGACAGACACTTCTTAGAACAAGAACGAGTCTTGTTCTCCAAACAAACAAACAAACAAACAAACAAACATTTCCTGTAGCCCACCAGGACCCACTCAAATCCAGGCAGAAACATGACATTGTGAACTTCTTGCCCTCCATTGCACCAGAGTTGAGATACATGACAGTGATTAATAGTGAGACTTTATTTTATAACTATTCAGCTTTAACATAGAAATTTCAAAAGGATACCACAAGTACACACACATAGGCACACAATGTACTGGGAATTTGGCCTTTAAATGCTTGTTGTTTTAAGTTTGGGCTCTGATTGTTTCTTACTAATTTATTCATATTTTTAATTTCTACGCACATTTTCTTTTGTGCACAGAATACCACATGAAAGGTAATTGTGCAAGTTAATAACATTCTAAAAGTATTTTCTTCAAAGCTAAGTGTGCCCCAGTGAAAGGTTCAGACCAAGGTTGGGTATAGCCTCTCTGGTCCACATGAAGGTGTTGACACCAAGCTTATCTGACTTTTGATAGAAGGGGAGAGAGGCATCACCATTAACCAGGTTCAGTTCAAATACAGGCACCTTGCAGCTATTTTTTTATTTTACAAGAGCTCGGAATGTCCCCCCAGCTCAGTGCATCCATTTGTACTGTTCTCGCTGAACCGAGTTGATGAAACGTGACTCGTCATTTGACTTTTCAACTTTTGGTACTATACAGCTCCGTTTCATCTGGCAGTGGAGAAACTATGTCTATAACTTATGTTCCAATATAGCCAGAGAAGTATTTTAAACAAAAAAAATATTCCCACAAGACACCACTTACTGTCATGGTAAGTTAAGGAGTTGTAAAATGATATTTATCCTCGCAGTTGGTATGACACTTCCCACGTCAGGAGGATATTTCAAAGTACTTCACAGGATTTACACAGATGAACGCAGCAGCCAATTGTGCACAGCATTGTCCCACAAGCAGCCATAAACGAATGAGCAACAGTGTTTAGGGGATTCTTGGCTAGGATACTGGGAGAAACATCCTTGTCATTTCAAATACTGCCATGGGATCTTAATATCCACTTGAACAGGCAGACGTGAGGTTGATTTAATGTTTCATCAGAGTCAGAGCTAACTGAGCCAAACTGACAATGTAATAGTACAGTATCAATACTGACTGTAATATTACAGCATTAATATTGAAGCATTAGACATTCACACACAGACACCTTTACATGCACAAGTCTGACTATAGAGCTCCAGTGTAATTAGAAACCTTCGCAATAGTATGTTAAGAAGTAGAAATGCAATATTCATGCTATAATTCATAGATATATTTTACAGAAAGGAATTGACAAGGAGTTTTACCTGCTGTATACAGTTTTTGATGAGAACCTCAGCTGGTTCCTCTCTAAAAATGTGGAAACATTTATTCAGAATGCTTCTGGCATTGACCTGGAGGATGAAGACTTTCAAGAGTCGAATAAAATGCATGGTGCGTGGTTCTAATCAAAATACTACTGAGACATCATAGTTGTATGAATGTTACAGGATTGCCATGTCACACTCAAACTTCACAAGGATTTTCACCAAAGCCAACAAGTGGTCAGTGTGTTATGGTTTACGTTTTTGGGGTTGGGATTTGTTTTCACCATCCTTCATTCCAAATGAACTGCTTCTAGTAAGGAAGAGACTCGAGACCTCCTCTTATGTAGCTTAATAACATACTGCTCAGAGGTGTATAAAAACTCCTGGGTACTGAATATATACTTCTGATAGCATCATGAGAATCATAGGCAAGCAAAGTTAAAATGGATCAGCATTGTTTTGATGCTATAAGTATTATTGATGGGTGCTGCAGTACTGATAAGTATCTATCAGTGGCAATGTTGGAAAGAAATGTCTTGCACATGTGCAGCAGTGCAACCAGCAGGGAACCAGTGGTACTGCATCACATTTTGAACATCTTTCTCAATATATTTCCTCCAATTGGATCTCTGACCAATTTAGGTGTAACAATTTATTTTGTTGTGTTACAACAAAGCGAACAATAACTTTTGACCCCTCTACTGGGCAAGCTCTCTTGTCTGACTGCTTGCCCGCCTCAAGACTCTCCTCTTCAACCGTGCCTTCGATCACCCTCCTTCCCTCCCTGCCCTCCACCCTCCCCGATCCCGACCCCCAACTCGGGTCCGTAACACTGATTGTCCAGCGCCTTGGGATGTGCTCCTGACGTGAAAGGCGCTATGCAAATGTAATTTTGTTGTTGTTGCACCAAGAACAACCACAGCTTGCATTTATATAGCGCCCTTCATGCCGGATGACGTGTAGGACGTGAAAGGAAAAGTTTGCACTCCAATGGTGCTCACCTGTTTGATATATTGAAACAACATCAAAGGTTAACCTACTCACATCAATGATTTAACCATGTTCCTCAAGAAAAAAAACAAAAAATTGGTCACTTCAATCCAAGACTGCCGCATTTCGCCCACAAATTTACAGTCAATTTGCTTTACAGTATATTCTGTGAAGTGCTTTGAGACGTCTAAAAGACTTGAATAGCGCCATATCAAATGCAAGGATTATTCTTATTATGTCCATTTTTAGACACTTTTGTAAAAAAAATCTTAAATTCAGTCTTACTCTGTAAGCTGTCTTTCCGCAGTTTTTAAAAAGGTTAAGCACAGTTTTTAAACAATAGACTAAGGTAGAGGTATCCAAAACAACGGGATTTAATCTTAATATTAGAGATAGATCATTTAGAATCCAGCTCAGAGAATGTTCCTTCACACAAAGTGTTGTAAAATAATAATAATAATGATGCTTGCATTTGATATAGCACCTTATCACGTCTTTGAGATGTCTCAAAACACTTCACAGGATATACTGCGAGGTGAATTGACTGTATATTTTGTGAGTGAAATGTGGCAGCTAATTGCACACAAGCAGTGTCCCACAACAACAACAACAACAAAACTACATTTATAGAGCGCCTTTCAAGTCGGGAGTCCCAAAGCGCTGAATAGGCAGGTGTCGGGACCCGAGCATGGGGGAGGGGTGGTATAAGGGTGAGGGAAGGCAGAGAGGTAGGAGGGAGACCAAAGGTACGATCGAAGAGAAGGGTCTTGAGACCGACCTTGAAGGAGGCAAGGGAGGAAGCGAGGCGAAGGGACCATGGGATGGAGTTCCAGAGTGTGGGGGCAGAGAGGCTGAAAGCCCGGCCACCAATGGTAGGGCAGGTCGGGAGACATGGAGCAGCCCGGAGCCCCCTGAATGTAGGGAGCGGGCAGGTTGGGAGGGAGTCAGCAGGTCAGAGAGGTAGGAGGGGGTAAAGCCATGGGTGGCCTTAAAGGTGAGGACGAGGATCTTGAACTCGATCCTCTGGGGGATGGGGAGCCAGTGGAGTCAGGGCGAGGGTGGGGGTGATGGAGTCACGGAGCCTGGTGAGTGAGAGTACATGAGCTGCAGAGTTTTGGATGATCTGCAGCTTGTGAAGGGAAGAGTTGGGAAGGCCGATGAGGAAGGAGTTCCCGTAATCGAACCTTGATGTGACGAATGTGTGGGTGAGGGTTTCGGCAGCCTGTGGGGTGAGGCAGTGGCGGAGTCTGGCATTGTTGCGGAGGTGGTGGTAAGCAGTGCCGGTCATGGCGCGGATGTGGGGAAGAAAGAACAGTTTAGGGTCAAACAAGGTACCCAGGTTCCTGACTAGCTTAGTGAGGTTGAGTGTGCAGCCGTGGAGGCTGATGCTGCCAGCGCCTGAGGTGCGGAGGCGCTGGCGTAAGCCAATCAGGAGGGCCTCGGTCTCGCTGACGTTGAGTTGGAGAAAGTTGGCCCTCGTCCACAAACAGTCATAGATTGAAATGACCAAATTATTATTTATTTAATTACTAGGAAACCATTTCTCCCTATTGATTCCATCAAAACCCCTCAGAAATGTCAAAGATCTCCATCAGGTCACCTCTCAATCTCTTTTTTTCTCTCCAGAGGAAAATGTCCCAGTTCCTCAAGTCTCCACTCATACAGAGACCAAACCACTCATTCCTGGTATCATCCTAGTAAAACTCCTCTATCCCATCTCTATCACTTTAACATCTTCCCTAAACTGGACACAATATGCTAACTGCCATGTCAGAGTGGGATTGTCAATCGCTCCTGTGACTGGTCCACCAATCTTTGCCCATCTTTTCCTCTCAACCCGCTCACACACTCACTTATAATAATAATAATCCTTGCATTTGATATAGCGCCTTATCACGTCTTCGAGATGTCTCAAAGCGCTTTACAGAATATACTGTAAAGTGAATTGACTGTATATTTTGTGGCCGATATGTGAAATGTTAATGATGCAGAATTGATTTTTAAGTTGAAAGGCAGATTATACATTTAGGATGCAAGGATATTAAAGGATGTGGAGAAAGGCACATTAAAAGATCTACCATGATCTAATAAAATTGTAAAACAGGTTTGAAGGATTGAATGGCCTTCTCTTGTTCATAAAGTGGTAAATAACAACAACAACTTGTTCTTTTATAGTAACTTTCACATAGGAAAATGTCTCAAAGTACATCATAGAGCCAAGTAGGAGCCCAAGCAGGGTGGAAGATGGGGGAATGGGTAGGAGCAGATGACCAAAGATGGAATAAAAGAGGAAGGATTTTGAAAGCAGGGGGGTGATTTGAGGGGGAGAGGTTTAGGGAGAGTGTTCCGGAGAACGGTGGCAAAGCAAATACCATTGAAACTTTTCTTTGTACATTAGTTACACAATTATAATGGTTCAATTGTTTTTTTAAGCCATCAATGGTTACATGTTTGGCAACCAACCTGGACTGGAAATGTGTATTGATGATATTGTAGCATGGCATTTGATTGGACTTGGCACCGAAATCGACATGCACGGAGTTTATTTCCAAGGGAACACAATCCGTGTGAAAGGATCCACACGTGACACATTCTCTCTGTTTCCTCATACTTCTGCTACAGTTCTCATGCAGCCTGATAATGTCGGTAAGGGTCTTTTCTTTCTACTTTTGTCTCACTAATCATAATCTTAACAGGTTGAAGTCATTGATGTTTGCTCTTTATCCATTGTCTCTTAATGCTGGCAATCTATTGTCTACAGAATCTGAAATAATTTCATTTTAAACTATACAACTTTACTGTAATAATGATAGTTGTATTTCATATAACCCCCAAAACATTTCAAAGCGTTTCAAAGGGAATTGCAACAGGTAGTGGTCATGTATTTGTAGACAAATGTGACAGCCAATTCATGTACAATAAGGTACCATAAACAGCCTTAAAATGAATGACGGTACTTCCAACAATGCAGAGTCCCCCTAAGTCCGATACGGAGCTTGAACCTACATCTTTCTCACCCAAAGGCAAGAGTGCTACCAAGTAAGTAGATTAGTAGGGATGTAACCAAAACAGATTACAGGAGAATGAGTTTTTGAAACTACAGCTGATGATTTGTGCCAGAATTGCTTTGAATGGTTTGAAACTTCAACCAGTAAATTGAAGAAGTGAACCAGAATAGCAGATTTGAGTGGAGAAATTCCATTTGGGTGTAGATTTACTCTGTTAATGTAGTATTTTAGAATTTTCAGAATTTGGCAAATTGTTGAATTCAGTCTTAACTTTGAAATTATAATAATAATAATAACACTTGCATTTGATATAACACCTTTCCCGTTGGGAGGTTGCCTCAAAGTGTTTCACAGAGTGCTTCTGTAAAATGTAGTGACTGTATTTTGTAGACGAACCTGGCAGCCAATTTGACCACAAACAGCCGTGAAGTAAATGACCAATTTTATTTGGGGGAGTTTGGGCTAGGAAATAAGTTTCCTGTAATTCTTAAAAAAAACTGACTTCAAAGTTAAGACCATATTTAATAATTTTTCCAAGTTATGCACGTTTTGACATGCTACATAGAGTAAATCTAGACCCATGTGGCATATCTCCCTACATGTGTCTCAATTTACATTTTACATTTAATGAAACCAATGTTCCAGTTTTCATTACCTTCCCAGTTGTAATTTTAAAAGTTTGTTTGATATATTTTTAAAAAAAACATGTTTCAAATTTAGGTACATTTAAGGTAATCTGTCGAACTGTTGATCACTATGTGGGTGGAATGAAACAGCTGTACCATGTTAAAGAATGTAATACAACTGCTTCAGAGGAAATGTATGGAACACTAAGAACATACTACATTGCAGCAGTAGAGATGGAATGGGATTATTCTCCTGACAGGAGCTGGGAACTAGAACAACACAACACTACCAAGGAAGAGAGGTAACATCAAGGGGATCAATTTGCTCATGTTCTTAGGCTTAAAAACATTGTCTTAAAATTTAAAATTGTGGGAAAGTTTCCAATCTTTTTCAGTACAATAAAGTTGGCCTTCAAATTAATACTGTTTTTCAAAATTCTGTACAATCTTACATTTTGCGGGCAGGATACTAAAGCCTGAGATTTTTCAGCCATTGCAGATTTCTACAATGAAAATACAAAGAGCAGTGAAAATGAGTCATCGATACATTGAAGTCAACTATTGCTAAATTCTGTTGAACAATGGAATAATTCTTGTCAGTGCATAAAATTATCTCTAAAATGTTTGTACAATATACTCCTGGATTCTGGACCATTTTTTAATAAAATAGATAATGGCCTTATGCAAATTGCATAGAATTATATAGAATATTCAACACAGAAACAGGCCATTTGTCCCACCTGGTCTATGCTTCACATGAGCATCCTACTGGCCTTCCTCAACTAAGCAAATGTAACTTGAGATCTATGCAGAAGATTTCTCATTGGCTTCTGTGACTGCTTCAGTAACTTTCAGTGAGTAGCTGAGCTATTTGGGGCCAATATGCAGCTCAAATGTAAAACTTTGTCATGTGTTGATTTAGAATGACATTGTATGTGCTGGAGGTTGATCCCTACTCCCTCTCCAGCAATCACAACATCCATGAAGCTGCATTGCTCATTCAACTTCCGATCAAAGCATTCAACTACTGATCTGAGATTTTCTACATGACAAATCTCAACTGTGTCACTAAATTGACCAAATTATTGAGATATTTTATTTGCAGCAATTGCATTTTATAGTTTATAAAATTCCAACTCATTTGCAACTATGTTGATGTTTTGCAGTGAAATGACCAGACAATTTTAATATGCAGGAAGGATAATCTGGACCATTGGCACAAAAATTCCAATCTAATGTATTTATACAAGATTTACATACTGTGCCTAAAAGGTGTGGGTCATTGATGTTGGTGTGGATCATCTTACTAGCTGCCCAAACTTGCACTGTTTTATTAAAAAATATATTATTGTTATGAAGTAACTGGAAATTAGTTTCGACAAATCATGCAAAGATGTAGTACCTATTACGTTGAAACATCTCAAAAGTAGTTGCTATTAAGAGTATTACAAGCAAATACAGCAACCATTTTACACAAAGACCATTTGTTTACAACAATGTCCCACAAACAATTTTGAAGATAATGATGATTGATGTTATATTTTGTTGTTATATGCACTATATCAAATGTAAGAATTATTATGATTCATTATTATACCATATAAATCTAACCTATCATTAATTCAGCCCTGTGCTCTGTTGTTTGACCCTGGAGCAAAATTCTGCTGCAAAACTCTAGCCTATCTATGCATCCTGTAGCTCAGTGGTTAGAGCACTCGCTTTGCAAGCGAGAGACCTGAGTTCAATTCCAGGCAGGGCAAAACCTTGGGCAAGTTTCCTTACTCCACATGCCTAATAATAATCCCTCCAAAACCAAAAACAATAATAAATTGGTCACTTCAATCCATGACTGTTTGTGGGACATTGCTGTGCGCAATTGGCTGCCGCGTTCGCTCACAAATATACAGTCAATTCACTTTACAGGGTGTTCTGTGAAGCGTTTTAGGACGTCCTCCCAATGTGAAAAGCGCTATATCAAATGCAAGGATTATAATTATTATTATATCCAAATGTTAGCAATATTCAACTCTGGCTGCTGCTTTATACAGATGTCCCTTATCTTCCAACGACACAGAAGCCGTTATGACCATTGGGTTGGGCTTCTCTTTGCATGATATGTTGAAACTGTACTTAACTGTACTTAACACAGTAAAGATAATAAATAGTGTGACATTATGATGAACCACAATTTGTCTGGAGTAAGGCTCTGCCACTGTAAAGCATTCTGAGTAATATACAAGTGATACAAGTGCAAGTTGTTGTTGTTGGAGGATTCTTGTGACGAATATCAGCAGAATATCAGCTCTTCTTGAATAATGTCACAGGATGTTAAATCCCCATCTGAACTGGAAAATGGGATCTTGTTAGAAAAATAGCACACAGCAGTACCTCATAAAAACACAAAAGTGAATGACCAAAATGTGCATATTGGTGACCATAGTTTGTTTTGTTTTCCAGCTATGGACAAGTGTTTGTCGGTTTCGGAATTGGTTCTAAGTATAAAAAAGCAGTTTATAGGGAATATACTGATGGAACATTTACTAGGCAGAAGATCAGGTCACCTGAGGAACAGCATCTGGAAATACTGGGTACTGTACAAAAAGTTAACTTGCTTCCATTACTTGCCTTTAGATGTGGCTTTATGTACTCTGAAGAATAAATGGGGTATAATAGGTTGTCATTCTAAAAAGTTGTCATGAATTCATTGCAATTTTCACATTGATTCAGAAGTGAAAGTGGAGCATGAACTGTATTTCTTGGCATCAATTAGATTCGGAAGTTGTTCATCAGTAGGAAGAAGGTTCAGGAATTAATCCAACGAATCAGCTGTAGTATGCAGCAGGTAATACAGGAACTTTTCTAATTAAAAATCTGTTTCAAAGTTCTTATCATTCCTTTGGAGCATTCATTCACTGTTATTGGGATGTCCTTCTGACCTGATATGAGGACATTTATATCTACATACATATATATATTTATATATAAATGTAAATTAAAAAACTGGAGAACAAGGTGCCCCAAATCTCTCATTATTTTCATCTTAAAATGATTTAGAATTAAAATTAAAGATTGTACAGAATTTTGGAAAACTCTTAAATTCAGCTTTAATTTGGAGGCCGGTTTCCTGCAGTTATTAAAAGAGCAGCATAAACTGGCTTCCAAATTCGGACTGAATTTAAGAGGTTTTGTTTTCAAAATTCCACATGATCCTAACATATTAAGCCAATTGTCTTCAGGGTGAAAATCAAGAGACTAGCTGTAACCAGCTATCCCTGATCCAGCACTGGTTAGCAGATATACATATATGTTCTTAGTTGTATTTGCACTGGGAGCTTCACAGTGAGTGTGACTTTGGAAATCTAAATCATATCTCCCATTTCTAATTGCTCCACTCTTGAAACTGGCAATGAATCACTCCAGCTGTACAAATCCAGCATAAATAAACTCTGTTGTTTATTCTTCATCCTGCTATTGTGCAGGAAGTCTTCTCTGTGACATTCCGGTATAAATTAGGCTACAAAGCACCCATCAGGTCCATCTCTCATCCCGTATATTTAACAGTATAGAATAATTTTTAAAATGTTTCAGTGTGAAAGGAGTGCAGGCAATGACAACTTTTTTTAAAATTACTTCTTCATCTGCGGGGTACACCAGGGCTCCATCCTTGGCCCTCTTCTTATCTATATGCTCCCTCTGGGCGATGTCATCTGCAGACACGGGGTAAACTTCCACGTGTATGCGAATGACACACAAATCTACTTTGCCTCCTCCAGTACCAACGCCAGGTCTGCCGATGTTCTATCAGCTTGTCCGGCAGACATCAGGCCCTTTCAAAAGGGAACTAGATAAATATCTAAAAAGGAGTAAACTACAGGGGTATGAGGAAACGGCAAGTAAATGTGACTGAAAAGATTGTTCTTTAAAGAGACACAGTGGGCCAACTGGCCTTCTTTTATGTCTTGTAAATTATTATGGTTTCATGGTTCCAAGTGTCAATCTTCATGTGTGAGGCATTAAAAAGCTGTGCAGCTCCAGCAAATGTCACTCGAGGGATATCAGGAGCAGAATCCTGTTTTTATTTAAATGATGTACATGAAACCGAGAGCAGAATAAGTGTACTATTAATTGGTGGTTTGGTGGATAAAATCAAACCCCATTTTACAATGAGACATACGACTGCTGCTGATGTTACTTCCTATGTACTTGCTTGGTGCAGTAAGCATCTGTGGCCTTACTTCCTGTGAGCTGTGCACTATGCGCAAGGAATGGGAGTGTACTGTACTTCTGACACACGTATTCAGTATGATCGCACTTTAAGCAGACCTGCCCGTATCTCTTCATTCAGGATAATTTGTATTCAATATTTAATGAATATCCAAATTTACACTGCACATAAACCTTCTATTTTACCCTAATTGCGTTTACAGTTTCCCTGTCTAAAATGTTCCTTTTAGATATGAATGTAATTGATCTGTGTCAACATGAACCTATTGTTACAGCCATTTATTTCTTGAACAGCCTGTATATACCATTTTACGACAGATTAGAATTTATGTGTACAGTTACATATATCAAAACTGATTTCACATAACTTTCTGTGTCTAGGTCCCATCATCCGTGCTGAGGTGGGTGATACCATCCTGATTGTATTTAAGAACTTAGCTTCCAGGCCTTACTCTATACATCCACACGGAGTTGAGGAAGTGGGCAGTGGTAAACAGTTAAAAGTACCAATCACTATGCCAGGTAACATAGATTTTCTTTAAAATTGTCTATGCAGCTGTTTTCTTGAAATAATTACAATGTCCTATTGCCTTGGAAATGAAACTCTTTTAGATGAGATGTTTAATTGAGGTCCTGTTTGCTTGTTCAGATGAATGTTAATGATCCCATAGCACTATTCAAAAAGAGAAGGGAATTGCTCGGGATTCCTAGCCAGCAATTCTCCAAATATAATTGGCTACTCACATCATGGCTGTTTGTAGGACGTTGCTGTGTCCAAATTGGCCTTCACATACAAATATGTTTGCCTACAAATAGTCACAATACTTCAATGTAAAATCTTATGAAGCACTTTGAAATGTCTCAGCAACATACGGCGCTGTATCAAATGTAAGGATTATTATTAAAAAAGTCTACTTTGGTCTGCAGAAGCTGATATGCATGACATAAAATAAGCTTAATGGTCAATTGCCAACCCTAGGAACATGTACCATACATTAAACTGTAAAAGTGACGTGGGGATCTGAACTCAACTGATTTTTAGAATGAAGGCCGGCATCCTGTTTGTTGGAAGAGTGATGAGTCAACTAAAGTATGTCAACTTATTCCTTGCCAAGTTCTATCCATGGATTATATGCATCTCCTATTGCAAATGTGTTGTTATATTGGTTTTTAACCTTTATGAGCATTTCATTGCACTTGAGTTTAGTACGAAACTTGGACTCTGCTGTGATAACACCACAGTTTTAACTATTGTTCTATTGCGACTGCTTTAAATGTGCATGACCTCAAATTGGAGCTTGCTTCAATGCAGTTTGCACAGAAATGAGAGGGCACTTTTTTCAAAAGTGATTATTCCAGCGACACACTTATTTTTGTCCTCATGTTTTGAGGAGTTTTAATATAAAGATGTTTGTTTGAAAATAAATTGTTCTAGTTATAGAGGTTGCTGTCACATCATATTAGATCATTTCAGAGATTGACTTCTCTGATCTTAACTATCTTTGATGCTTGAATGCAGCTTACTGAAGGAGAATAATGTATCAAATCAACAGCAACACTTTACATTTATATAGTTCCTTTTACAATAGGGAGGACAACAACAACAACAAAATTTGTAAAGCGCCTTTCACGTTGGAAGGACTTCCTAAGGCGCTGGACAGAGTTACAGACCCGAGCTGAGGGTCAGGGTGGGGAAGGGAGGAGGGTGGGGGGGAAGCAGGGAGATTGAAAGCACGGTCGAAGAGGAGGGTCTTGAGATGGTTTTGTTGGTGGCAAAGGAGAGGCGAGATGGAGGGACTGCGGGATGGAATTCCAGATGTGGGAGCAGAGTGTCAGAAGGCCGCTCGCCAATAGTGGGGCGAGCGAGGCGGGGGACATGAAGCAGGCTGGAGCCCGCTGAGCTGTGGGAGCGAACAGGATGGTAGAGGGTTAGGAGGTCGCAGAGTTAGGGGAGCAAGACCGTGGAGGGCTTTGAAGGTGAGGACCAGGATCATGAACTGTATCCTCTGTGTGATGGGAAGCCAGTGGAGTTGGGCAAGGATGGGGTTTATAGGATCACGGAGCTTATTGTGAGAGAGGACACGGGCTGCAGAGTTCTGGTTGACCTGCAGCCTGTGGAGGGAGGAGTTGGGGAGGCCGACAAGCAATGAGTTTGCATAGTCAAGCCTCGATGTAATGAAAGCATGTATGAGGGTTTCGGCGGCCTGCGGTGTGAGACAGTGGCGGAGCTGGGCGATGTTGCGGAGGTGGGGAAGGCAGAGCGGGTCATGGTGCAGATGTGGGGTAGAAAGGATAGTTGAGAGTCAAACAAGACCCAAAGGTTCTGGACTGGCTTAGCAAGGTGGAGTGTGCAACCATGGATGGTGATGCTGTCAGCGCCTGAGGTGAGGAGGCACCAACGGGAGCCAAGCAGGAGAGCTTCGGTCTTGTTGACGTTCAACTGAAGAAAGTTAGCTCTCATCCAGGACTTGATGTCCGACAGACATTCTATCAGCACAGCAGAGGTCCTGGAGTGAAGGGTCGAGGCAGAGAGGTAGAGTTGAGTGTCATCCGCATACATGAAGAAGTTGACCCCATGTCTGCGGATGATGTCACCAAGAGGGAGCATATAGATATTGTAGGAGAGGGGACCAAGTCAGAGCCCTGAGGAACGCAATGGTCCGAGGCTTAGAGGAGAAACCGTTTGAGGAGATGAAGTGCAGGCGGTGTGAGAGGTACAATCTGAACCAGTCATGGACAGCACTGTTGAGGTGAGAGGAGAGGATGAGGATAGAGTAGTCGATGGTGTTAAAAGCAGCAGAGAGGTCGAGTAGGATGAGAAGCAGAGGGAGCCCTGGTCGCACATGGACATCTCAAAGTACTTCACAGAGTTGACTCAGAGCCTGAGTGTTGTGGGGGAGCTGGGGAAGGGAAATGCAGTGGAAAGTATTGTTTAAGAGAGAGATGTTTAAGTTGTGCTTTGAAGGTAGCCTTGGGAGAGAGTCAAGACTGAGATATATATATTTCTTATTGCAAAAGGGATTAAGAGATATGGGGATAAGGCAGGGTTATGTTATTAGCTGGAGTTAGATTAGAAGATCAGCCATGATTGAATGGCGGGGCAGGCTCGAAGGGCCAAATAGCCTACTCCTGTTCCTACGTGTTATGTTAAGATAGAAGGACTCTAGAATAGAGATCCAGAGAGTGGGAAGAGAAATTGACCAATGGTGGGTAACATGAAGGAGACTGGTATTTGCTGAACAGAGGGAGCAGCCATACCAGAAGGGTTGCTGGGGTAGGGTGGGGTGAGGCCATTGCAGGCATTTAAAAGTGAGCACGCAAATCTAGTTCAATATGTTAGGGGACACTTGTCCAGCCAGTGGAGCTGGACAAATCTTAAAAATATGAGTTTATCTTTTTTCAACAAAAAAAAGTGATGTTTTATTATACAAAAAGCACTATTAACAGAAATATCTTATCTAAATTCTTTAGAATTATAAGTATATAATATTAATGTATTTTTTATTTTTGAGTCCAGTCTTAGGGAATTAAATGGAGCAAATTATATCAAATGAAAGGATTATTATTAAGATATCCTACTTTGAACAGTGGGCTTTGGTAAGATTTTAATTGTATCGTTTCTTTTTTAAAAAAATGTAATGTGCAGAGTTACTGCAGAATGATGGGTTTGCAATAGGATTAAGATGGAATCCAATGTCAATGATTTTACCAATAGTCTGAATAGGAAAATTCTAAAACTTGTAATATGCATTGTCCAAATAAAATAATGTGTTTCAATGATGTGGTTCATCGATTAATTCAGTTCGTTTTCTGGCCTGGCTGATTGCTATATTCAGTGGAATAAACCAGGAAATCAACCTACGTTTGACACCACTCACAAATTGCACAATCCCGCTCATTTCAACTTATTACAGTGGGACAAATTTCAATTGGAGACACCTATTCTGAGTACTCTTTCCAGCTTGCTCCACATATTGCCAGATTCCTTTGAGTTCCTTTTCCTTTTAACTTATTATCAATAACAATAATAATAATCCTTGCATTTGGAATAGCTCATTTGACGTCAGGTGGATGTCCTGAAGCACGTCACAGGATCTATTGTAAGTGCCCTTTGCATAAAGTAGCATCTCAGAGCACTTTCTATCCATGGGGAACTCAGGCCAATTGTAGTGCCAAGTATGCCAGACCCGGCTGATAATAATCAAAGCAACAAAGTTCGTGGATAGAGCCTGAGACCTTATAGTTTACTATCATTGAGGAAGTTGAGCATGTGTGGATGTTGTAGTATTCTATAATAAAATATATAAATTTGAAAGAGATCCATAACAGTACATTTTATTCCTGCACTCGAGACACACACATTCAATGAATACTTTAAATATTTTTAAGTCATTGTTAGTGATTGTAATTTTACTTTTTTGCAGGTGAGATAAAAACCTATCGATGGAATGTTCCAACAAGATCAGGCCCTGGTCCTGGAGACTTAAATTGTATTTCCTGGATTTATTATTCTGCAGTAAAATTTGAGAAGGTATCATTCAATTAAAGCAGTCATTAACTGAACCAAAACTGAAGCAAGGCCATAGATTTTTTAAACTACTGAAAAATCATAGTTAAGATGTGTTGATTTCTGGAATACCAGTATTTTTATAGGAATGTGTGCCATCTTGGCCTGGTAGTTAGGGCTCTTGACACCAGGTCAAAAGGTTCTGGGTTCAAACCACACATCAGGACATGAGCTCAACGTTAGGGGAAACCAATTAACCCATTAAATTTTCACTGCAAACTCTGCAGCAGACTGTTTTGATGTGTGTAACATTGAAGGAGCTCACTTGCTCTTTGTAGAATACTGTAATGAACTTCTACCCTGTCACCTTAACATCCAAAGTTATCTGCTTCATAGATGTAAGAGTATCGCAAACCTGTATGTAATTTACAAGAAGCTTCCGATAAAATTTGGTTTATTCTATTTCAGGATTTATACAGTGGTTTGGTTGGCCCCTTAATAACCTGCCGTCAAGGAACACTTGACGAGAATGGAAAGAGGAAAGATATAGATCGAGAATTTGCAATATTATTTCTAGTATTTGATGAAAACATGTCCTGGTACTTGGAAAACAACCTCTACACTTACTTTCATGTTGATCCTAGTAAATTCATCTCCAATGATGAATTTGAAGAAAGTAACAAAATCCACGGTGAGGATACTTATTGGCTATAACTTCTTAAAATTACAAAAGCAAGAGCAATTTTACAGAATTAGCTCACGAGATTTATTTGGATTTTATTTTATTTCAGCAATTAATGGGAAGATCTATGGAAATCTTCATGGACTGAAGATGGTTAAAGGAGAGAAGATTGACTGGTATTTACTTGGTATGGGAAATGAAGTAGACATACACACTGTTCATTTTCATGCTCAGAGTTTTATTTACAGAGTAAGTAAACTTAAGTCACCAGTTACTAAAAATCTTATATATACACTCTACAACTGCTTGTGGGAAGTTGTTCTGCGCAAATTGGCTGCTGTGTTCTCCTACAAAACGTGGCAGTATACTATACAATAAATCCCCTGAAGCTTTTCAAGACATTTCGGTATAATGAGGTGCTATATCAAATGCACCTCATAATACCAAAATTATTTGTTGTTTATTAACCATATGTTAATGAAATACTGTTTAGTTCATCTCCCATATGTCCCTCGTCCCCTCCACTCCATCATCGGCGGTTGTGCTTTCAGCCACTGTGCCCGAATCTCTGGAACTCCCTGCCTCAATCCCGCTACCTCACCCATTCTTTGCCCATTTTCAAATTGCACCTGAAGACCTTTCTTTTTGTGCCATGGTCACTTCCTCTTTCTCTCCGGTTCGCCGTTATTTTAAGTGCTCTGAGACACCACGCCGTGTGGAGGCTGCTATATAAATGCAAGTTCTTGTTGTTCTTGTAGAGGGTTAAGGTGATGAGCTTATGAAGTTGAGAATACAAACTGAACACAATTTAAAGTCATTTGTTTTGAAGATTTAAGTTTGTGCTTTTATTCCTAAATTTGTTTCTACACAAGGCAGGAAAGTGAAACTAAAAGGACAGTTCCTTTTAGATGGCCAACACAATGGGCCTATGTTGCACATTTTTATGGTTCTGTCATAATTTGCTACCAAACTCTATGAATGTGTTCACACTTATTCTCTATGCGACTTCTGCCAATAAAATAGTCATAAACTGATGCATTTCTGTGGCATCAGTTACAAGTTTGCCGCATGCTGCATTTTGCTGATTTTATTATAATCGATTGTTAGACTCTTAGTTTACTGCCAGCTTCCAGAATCGTATCAATTTTCTCCTACATAAAAAATGCAAGGTTTCTATTATTTTTAGGAATATTTATTTAGATAGGTAAATATATATAACTGAGTTGAATTCACAGTAGGTGTATTATTTACACTATTGTAGATACAGTTGCGCGTTTGCTTACAAAACACAGTCACGTAACGTAATAGTATATCCTGTAAAATGCTTTGAGATATCCTTCTGAAATGCACTATACCAAATGCAAGAATTATTGTTATTTTTATCATCTTGTTGAAGGTAATATTTTGCATTTGGGATTTTATTTTTGTAGATGGTTAAGAATCACAGAGCGGATGTGTTCGACCTCTTTCCTGGAACATTCCAGACAATAGAAATGATAGCAGGAAACCCTGGAACTTGGCTGCTGCATTGCCACGTAACTGATCACATTCACGCTGGCATGGAAACCGTTTATACGATCCTGAATCGTACAGGTATCCAATGATTATCCAGAACCTTGGCCTATTACAATATTGCATACAGAATCATTTCTGCACACACTTGACAGACTAATTTCTGTGTCCATGCCATAGAATGCAATAGTCCAATAGAGCAAGTATATCCGTAACTCACTTTACAAGTCAGATGTGGTACAAATGAAGTGAACCTTGAGCTTTAAACGTGCATGATGCTTTCACTCAATACCCCAAAAAAACGTGTTTCATAATTAATGGGCATTTCCATTCACTACAAGCTCAGTCCGCCGTGTAGCTGGTCTGCTAGATCTACCCATAACACTGTATTGATTGTTATTTTAATCCTTGCAGATCGTGTGAAGACTACTGTGCAAACTGTTCTTGCAACAAATGGTGAGAAACTGTAAAAACCCTTGTCTAAAAAATGTCCAGACCTGAAAAATATGAGGTGTTGTTGGTCGTGATTTATACAATCAGTTTCCCTAAAAAACTAAGAGTAATTTCCAATACATGTATTATTTGTGTAATATAGGTGTTAAATCTACTATCCTGCAAATAAGCCTTTTTAGACATTTGTAAACTAGTTGTAAGACGAGTGTAGTCACCAACACTTGACTACGAGTTTTTCACAAAATAGGTTAAATGATCCAAATGCAAGGTAACAATGGTAAGTTTTATTTTAAAAATGCCAAGGATTGAGAACAAGCCAAAACAAAATGTATTGTTTAATTCTGTAGATTAGTTTAATATCATGTATGGTTCAGCACATTGCAGAAAATATTTTAGAGTTTTACATGACATGGATAACACAGAATTCACAGTTCACACTGACACTCCAATACAGTGCTGAGGAGTATCTTTCAGATGAAATGTTAATCCGAGGTTCCATTGGCCTATTCAGGTGGACATTAAAGATCAGGTGGCACTATTTGAAAAGATAAGGTCGTTTCTCCCGGTTTCCTGGCCAACAATTCCTTGATAAAATTGTTCATTCACTTTATGGCTGTTTGTGGGGTCACTAATTTGTGCGTATTGACTGCCATGTTCCCCTACAAAATACAGCCCTTACACTTTACAGTAAATCCTGTGAAGTGCTTTGAAACAGCTACCTAATTTGAAAAATATAGAAAATCCAAGGATTATGTTTTTATTGTTATTTAGAGCAGTGAACAAGCCGACAAAGTGATTTTCTATTCTACTTGATAATTTACAGAAGACTTAAAATAATAACCTGTATTTTCGTTTTTGCAGGTCAATTTGAGGTAGACTTCCTTGGAAAGAAGCTTCATAAAAAGGAAATCAAAATTGCCCTGTTAGTGCTTCTCATCATTGGAATTGTTTTGCTGCTGATAGTCCTTACACTAATCGGCATTTTTTTTTGCCAATGTGGAAAGAAGTCAGATTATGTTATTCATAACCAGTCCTTGATTGCCATGAATAGCATCTGATGTTCTACAAAGAAAAATTGCCGAAGATATTTTTGCCTCTAAAATGTTCAAAATTGCATCTTCTCTACTGGAACTGACAATAAGTTAATTTTTTTTGCAGATGCTTAAGAATGAGTAAATAACATGTCAGTTTGGACTAGGGTGTTTTGGGAATTGGAAAAAAAAATTTCATTACGTCTGATGGTTAAATGGAATAGGTCACAAAGACCATAAAGTCGAGGGTTCAAATCTTGGTCTGTGCTGAGTTAACTGATCTTAACCAGTAGGATGCTACATCTCAATTGGCCTCAGTGCCCCTGGGTTAGAGAGAAAGAAATCACCAATGTTCCCATCCAGAGACACCCACCCCAACCCACTCCTCCTGAAGAGGGCACACATGTTGAAGTTGAATGAGGACATGATTGGGGTCAGCGTCTCACAGTTAAATAGTACATGACTTTGTAGAATTAAAAAATAGTCCAATGCCTTCAGGAGAGGAGTAGAAAGAAAGTAGACCCCTTTATGTGTATAAGGAGCATTTATCATTGTGTGAAGTAACCAGATCACAAAATATACAAACCTTCAAAAATTCTTCCACTTATTTGCAGACAATGGAGAACACCACTATTTTTTGTAAACGTTCCAGACAATTTGTATAGTTCATCTTAGTGCCGATGAGCTTTTATACTTTGTCACTTGTGAGAAATTGCCTCTGGAAGTATTTTTAATGAAACCATTTTCAGGTTGTATGTGTTTTCCAATAAAGTAGCTTTCATTTGTATTTTGTTCGCTCACATAACATTCACTGCACTATGTCTTGTAAAGCACTTTGGGACATCCTCCTGATATGAAAGGCGCTAAACCAAATGTAAGGTACATTACATTTGGAATAACCAATTCCTATTCGTACCTAATTTCTCAACCTTATTCCTCTCCTCTGCACTGTGTTTAGCATCTGGGCGGCCCCTTTATGTTGCGACAACCCAGAACTGCGTACGGTACTGCAGCTGTGGCATGACCGGAACACTAACCACCACTAACCACTAACCTTGTTTTCCATGGCATTGGAGTACTGCCTATTAGTGGCATTCATTTATCTTAAAAATACAACTGAGCTCACTGAATGTCTATAACATTAGTACTAATAATAATCCTTGCGTTTGTTATTGGCCTTTTCACTTTGGGAAGCTGCCTCAGACGCTTCACAGATTTATTATGTAGTGACTGTTTTGTTGGCAAACACATTAGTTATTTGCGCGCAGAAATGTCCCACAAAGTGATAAGGCTACAAATATCATCAAACGCCAAGTACCATTTTGTAAATAAAACTCACTAGTGCACATGGGGCCTTTAAACCCAGCTTTTGAATGGCCAGCAGTGAAATATGTGGTCAAATTATGATCTTTCTCTTTGTGAGTCATCTGGAAATTCCTCTCCCTTCTGCGAGTAATAATTCTTCCTCCTGTTTTGTCTAGTTTTGATAAGGTTAGAAGGATAAATAGTGGTGATTAAAATTGTCCAAAAATATAACATGAGTATTTTCCTGAAGGGGATTTTTGCAATTATTGTAAAACATTCAGATATCTGCTTGCAATCCAAATCAACGCTTCACTGGGGAATAAGCTACACATTAAATCACTCATATAAAAATTATGCACATCTGTCCATCCAAGCAGTTACCAGAACCCTATCTAATATAAATGTGGACTTAATAATAACCCTTTCTGATATTAAACCTATTAAATCTATATGATCCCTCTGGGCGATGTCATCCGCAGACACGGGGTAAACTTCCACATGTATGCGGATGACACACAAATCTACTTTGCCTCCTCCAGTACCAACTCCAGGTCCGCCAATGTTCTATCAGCTTGTTCGGCAGATATCAAGGCCTGGATGAGTGTGAACTTCCTGCAACTGAATATGGACAAGATGGAAGCCATACTCCTTGGTTCCTGTCAATGCCTTCACTCCTGTGGACCTAAACTGCTCAACCTCCCTGGGCTTTCCCTCAGATTCACCGAACCAGTACGCAATCTAGGCGTCCGGTTCGATTCCCAGCTGTCCTTTCACCCTGCATCCGGTCCCTGACCAGGGCGGCCTTCTTCCACTTCTGCCACGTTGCCCGCATCCGACTGTACCATAAAACAAAGGCAGCCAAAACCCTTGTGCATGCACTTGTCATCTCTTACCTGGACTATTCAAACACAATCCTCACTGGTCTCCCCAGCTCCACTATTCAAAAAGTCCAGCTCATTCAGAGCTTTGCCGCCCACATACTGACCTGGACCAAACTCCGTACCTCCATCTCACCAGTTCTGGCCAGGCTCCACTGGCTCCCCAACACTGAACAGATCGACTTCAAGATCCTCACACTCGTGTTCAAATCCCTTCACACCCTGGCACCTCCCTACCTCTCCAACCTCCTCCCTCCCCCAAACCACCACCCGGCGCCTCCGCTCAACTGGCACCGGCCTTCTGCTCATCCCTCGCACCATCCGCCCCACCATCGGAGGTCATGCTTTCAGCCAATACGCCCTGAAACTCTGGAACACTCTCCCTCAATCCCTCATGTGCGGTGAGTAGAAGACGTGTCACAGGGAGAGAGCAGAGAGGTCATGGGGAAATTTAAAAGTGAGCATAAAAATTAAGAATTTGATCTGCTGGGAGATGGAGAGCTATAAAAGGACTGAGCGAGTTTGGGTATGATGGGCTTGGTACTGGATAATTCACGTTCTACAGAGGTCTGGATCATTTGTTTAAGATTGTGTAAGAAGGTAATTATAAAGCTATATTGCTATGTATTTTAGGGTGGAGGACTGAACATGCCTAAATTTATATTCTTAAATCATCCATTATTCTAAGCACAATGCATCAATCATCTCTTCAGGAGTTTCTGGGTGGTACTTTGCGGATAATAATAATCCTTCCATATAACCAAGAATTTAAAAAATGCTTCACATTATATATTATTCAGATCCCATGACACTATTTGAAAAGAGAAGGGAGCTTCGTTAGTTTCCAGGCCAACAAACCCCGATCAAAAATTGATCAATCATTTCTTGGCTGTTTGTGGGACATTGCTGTGTGCAAATTGGCTGCGCATTTGTTTACAAATACAGTCACTATACTTTACAGTAAGTCTTATGAAGTGCTTTAAGACATCTCCAATGTGATAATGTACCATATCAAATGTAAGTTATTATTATAAAAAATACAGTTTTGCAAATAGTGTTGTAAGAATCCACATGTCCAGTGGAGAGAATACAGCTTAAAGGTTTTTGGCCTCCTCTTTATTTATCTTTAAATCCCTCCTTAAAACTTATTTCTTCAACCGCACCTGTGGGCATCTCCCCCTTCACTCTTGCACAGTGCCCCTGCCATTGTGCAGCACTCGGAGATGATATCCTGACGAGATAAAAAAATAATAATCCTTGTTGCATTTGTTCTATTGCCTTATTACTTCGTTGAGGGGGTCTAAAAGCGTTTCACAGGATATACTGTAAAGTGGATTGACTGTGCATCTTATGAGCGAAACACAACTTATTGCTGTTGTTGACATTTGTAATAACAATAATACACCGTGCGTTTGATATTGTGTCATTGGGACATTTCAAAGCGCTTGGCAGAATATATTGTAGAGTGGATTGACTGTGTATTTTGCGGGCAAAAGGTAAATGGCAAATTACATTAGAGTATACAATACAGAAACAGACCATTTGGCCCAACTGGTCTATGCGGTGTTTATGCTCCACATGAGCCTCCTTCTGCCCTTCCTCAACTAAGCCTTCAAGCATAATCTTCTACTTTCTCCCTCATGTATTAGCTTTCCCTTAAATACATCTACGCTATTTTACCTCCACAACTCCTTGCATGTCCCACATTCGCACGACTCTCCGTGCAAAGAAATGTCTTCTAACTTACCTATTTGATCTTTTTGTGACTATATTACTTTGAGGGCCACTGGTTTGGGTCTCCCCCACAAGAGGACACATGTCCCCTGCCTCTACCCTATCAAAGCCTTTCACCAGTTCGAAGACCTCTATCAGCCTCACCCCCTGTACCCTCCTCTTCCCAAGAGTCCCGAGCACGCTCAGCCTTTCCTGCCGGGTATAAGGGAAGGCGAGGTATAAATTGCAGGGTGGCAAGTGCGACTTTATTATTAATAAAAAAAAACTTATCAGATTGGAGCACTGACATCACGGGATGGTGACAACTGCAGCCTTGTAACCCTCAGCCGCCACAGCAGCAGCAGCAGCAACAGCAGCCATTGTGTCCCTGTGTACAGTGGTGTGAGGGAGTGAGGGGAGGGAGGGAGTGAGGGGAGGGAGTGAGAGAGCCTTTATTCTCAGTGGCACACAGTGTGTCTGGTGTCTGTCTGTCTGTCTGTCTGTCTCTCGGTGCCAGGCTCCGGCTGAGGCTGAGGCTGAGGCTCCCACCGCCGCCTCCTCCTCCCCTGCGCCACACAAAGAGGGATGGATTGACGGCTCGCGGGACATTTTTTTCCCCCCCTTTTTCCTCTCCTCCCCCACCCCAAAAAAAAAAGCAAGAAAAAGCAGAAGAAGAAAAAAAAGAAAGAGAGAGAGAGAGGGAAGGAGGGAGGACGAGAGAGAGAGAGAGAGGGAGGGAAGGAGGGAGGACAAGAGAGAGAGAGAGAGAGGGAAGGAGGGAGGACAAGAGAGAGAGAGGGAGGAGGGAGGAGAGGGAAGGAGGAGGGAGGACAAGAGAGAGAGAGAGAGGGAAGGAGGGAGGACAAGAGAGAGGGAAGGAGGGAGGACAAGAGAGAGAGAGAGAGGGAAGGAGGGAGGACAAGAGAGAGAGAGAGAGGGGGAAGGAGGGAGGACAAGAGAGAGAGAGAGAGGGGGAAGGAGGGAGGACAAGAGAGAGAGAGAGAGGGAAGGAGGGAGGACAAGAGAGAGAGAGAGGGGGGGAAGGAGGGAGGACAAGAGAGAGAGAGAGAGGGAAGGAGGGAGGACAAGAGAGAGAGAGAGAGAGAGAAATAAATCAAAAGTGAAAGTGAAAGGCAGTAGAGCGGTAGCGGTGAGTTTGGAGCCATTGATCGTTTGGGCTCATCCCCCACAGCACAGTCAGCAAAGCCACTGCCTCCCCTCCACCCCCTCCAAAACCCCGACACACCGCGGGACTGACTCTACTGCGCCCACCACCAAGAGTCGGGGCTCGTCCTCTTTTTTAAAAAAAAATATTATTATTATTATTACTATTCTCGATTTTTTTAATATATTTATTTATTTCTCGTGCGCGTGTGTTGTGTGAGTGAGTGTGAGTGAGTGAGTGAGTGTGTGTGTGTGTGTGGGCGCCTCATGTGAGTGCTCTGAGGAGTGCTGTGTCCTCTTTCTCTCTCTCTCTCCCTCGTCAATCCGTCTATTTATTTATTGATGGATTTATTGATTGATTGATTGATTGATTGATTGATATTGGCCGTTTTTGTGGGGGGGGAAAAAAAAATCAGCCCCTTTTTAGCCCCTTTTTAGCTGACCCCCCCCCCCCCCCCCCCCCCCCCCAAACCGGTTGGAAATAATGGCCATAACTCACGCTGCGGCTGAGTACGTTTTCTCGGACTTTCTGCTGAAGGAGCCCTCGGAATCCAGGTACAAGGGGGTCAGGCTCGACCTGGCGGTGGACAAGATAGTCACCTTGGTGTCAGCGGGCCTGCCCCTGCTCCTCATCTCGCTGGCCTTCGCTCAGGAAATCTCTGTGGGTAAGGACAAAGCTTTGCTATCTCTCCCTCTCTCTCTATTTTCTCTATCTCTCTCTCTCTCTATTTTCTCTATCTGTCTCTCTCTCTCTCTATTTTCTCTATCTCTCTCTCTCTCTCTCTCTATTTTCTCTATCTGTCTCCCCTCTCTCTCTATTTTCTCCATCTCTCTTTCCTCTCTCTCTATTTTCTCTCTCTCTCTCTTCTCTCTCTATTTTCTCCATCTCTCTTTCCTCTCTCTCTATTTTCTCTATCTCTCTCTATTTTCTCTCTCTCTCTTTCCTCTCTCTCTATTTTCTCTATCTCTCTCTATTTTCTCTCTCTCTCCTCTCTCTATTTTCTCTATCTCTCTCCTCTCTCTCTATTTTCTCTACCTCTCTCTCTCTATTTTCACTATCTCTCTCTCCCCTCTCTCTCTATTTTCTCCATCTCTTTCTCTCTATTTTCTCTATCTCTCTCTCCTCTCTCTCTCTTTATTTTCTCTCTCTCTCTATTTTCTCTCTCTCTCTCTCTATTTTTTCTCTCTCTCTCCCCTCTCTCTTTCTCTCTCTCTTTCCTCCTGTCATGGGATTTCGCAGTCTTAAGAATCACATGCTCCACAACAAACATAGGCAGTGAGTGTCTTTAACTGTGTGCATTGGTTAACATGTTGCATGATTGTTTTAATCCCCCCCAAAAAATATATCAGATTGCTGTATAATAGCGATGCCTAAAGTAATTGGGAAGATGTCTCTCCTCTCCCCTCCCTTTCATTGTGTGTTGGTTAGACATTGTCTCTCTGTCTCTCTCACACTGTCACACACCAACTGGCTCCAACAAGCCAGGCTCAGGCTCCCCCACAGCTTTGCTTGGTGCTTGGGGTACATGATGCCCTTTCAGTGGGGTGGGTGGGGAGGAGAGATGAGGGAGGTGGAAGGTGTTATTGCCTTCTACCTTTACACTTAGCAGATGATGGCTGCGGTCTTTGAGCTTCTGTGAAGAAACTCAATGCAGGAAAGCAATGGAACAGTGCTGCTGAGCCCAGTCCTGCGGTGCCTGGTTTCACAGCACCTGCATGTATTTGGTTGTTCAGGCTTGTTTTAATTCCATATCAACAGAGAAAGGGAACAAATCAAGTAACACACACATATGTATATTTTTAAAAAAGCCCTTGCCAAAGGAGGTAAAATGTTGTCGACTTTTACATGTATTTTTGTTTGGTCCTGTTTGCAAATTCAGCATGAGTTGCATTGCAGGTCAGTGGTTTGACATATCAGCAGCCACAAGGAGAGGTCATCATTGGACAATGTGCAGTGCCGGGCACCTCCATAGCTGCACAAAGCTGTTTTATCTGCAAAAAAACAATCGGTGGCCATTAAAGTTTGGAGTAATAGAGAGAAGGGATGGGATGCTTGCAAGTGTAACCATTTTAATGAGTGCTACATTTAAAAAAAAATTATATATATATTCTGTTGCACAGTTCATTGTTTTTGAGAGAGGAGGGGGAAATGCCCTTGTTGGGCAAGTAGTTTAGCTTCTAAAGGGAAATGCTCTTCTTTATAAAAGTGGGCACGTTACAAAACAAAATAAAGCAGTCAAAAGGGAGTTTTTTTCCCCGAGGTATGCAGCACTTGTCAATAACTGAGATGCCATTTCAAATGATTTTTACACCTAGAGGCTGAGATGGTCCCTCTTGTCAGTAGAACAAATCAAGATAGCAACACTTGTCCAATTGTGTGGTATAATATCAGTCAGTGCCTGCAAAATTGTGTTATTTTATACAAGTCTATTACCCGTCATCTGATTACAGTAAATTAGAGTTGTGTATATTTCATGTACAATAACATATGGGCAGCAATGTTGAAGTAACCTTCAATTAAACACACAGCTTATGACTCTGGGCCATGAATGCTGAATAAAAATGTGCAATTGATTTGTGATACAATGTTACTTAATTGGTAACATTCTTGTCTCTGATTCAGAAGGTTGCGACTTCGAGCCCCACTTCGGGACTAAAATTAGTTATTCACTTTTTGGCTGTTAGCGGGACATTGCTGCGTGCAAATTAACTGCTGCTTTCACCTACAATATGCATAGTCCACTTTGAGGAATATGCAAACTTACTCCACTTTAAGGAAATTCTGTGAAGTGTTTTGAGACATCTTCTCGACTTGAAAAGTGATATATCAAATATAAGGACTATTATTATCCTAGGCAGAATATGTGTATCACTCTGCTTTCTCAATCCTATCTAAAACCTTGTGAAGCTTTCTAAGGTCCCTATTGGGACATCTCTCTGAGACTGAAGAGCCATAGCTTTTCTAATATTGTTTTATAACACATTCCTTTAAGAGTAGGCAATATCCTCAATGCTCTCCTCTGCACTGATTCCAGACCCTGGACGATTGTGACTTCAGGGGCTTTGGGAATTTAGTTGAACATCCTATTTGCCTTGTTCTTTGCTTTTTATACTGTTTAATAATAATAATCCTTGCATTTGATATAGCGCCTTATCACGTCTTTGAGATGACTCACAAAGCACTTCACAGAAGATACTGTAAAGTAAGTTGACTGTATACAGGGCAGCCAATTGCACACAGCAGTGTCCCACAAACAGTCGCTTGTGAGGCGAGTGCTCTAACCACTGAGCTGCAAGCCTCCACAAAGTTTCACTTGATAAATGAGTGAAATGAATTCCCCTAAGTTTTCATTCAGCTTTTGCTTTGACAAGTTATTGTATATCTGTACCACAGAGTACACACGCCTACAATTCTTCTTATCCATATACTAATAAAGAAGAAATGTATGTGTGTGTTCCTGCCAAGAACTGATTGACGTAGAGACATGATTTATACCTCATTTGAAAGGTCATGAATTGGGAGTGTTATGGGCATATTAGTTTTCGGTGATCTTCTATTGTTGATGAGCTATATTTAAAAAATTATTTTATTAAGCCCCAAAAGATGAGGTATGCATGGTATTCTGCAACAAAGTAACAACAGGGGAAATCACACACCCTTCTCGAGAGATACATCTATACTAATATATTCTGTAATAAAGTAGCAGCAGAGAAGCTATGACCTAAACAAGCTCATCACACATGTATCCACTCCAACAAGGAGCCCTCCCAACAAGGAGCCCTCCCAACAAGGAGCCCTCCCAACAAGGAGCCCTCCCAGATGAGTATAGATAAAGATGAAATGTCTGTCTGTGTGTCAATCTAAATTCCATATTGGATCCTTTGGTTGCAAACAAAGCTGCAACTATGTTAGTATGCAATTCTCTTATTGACCTTCATTGGTCAATCAGTAGCCCATGTGCATATGCTATCAAGCTCCAGGACGAGCAACACAATTAAAAAAAACCAGAAGCGCTAATAATCCCTTCAAAAAAAAATAATAATTTGGTCACTCAATCCACACCTTTTTGTGGGATACTACTGTTCGCAATTGGCAGCTGTGTTTCGCCCACAAAACACACAGTGTTTTAATTCTTTACAGTGTATCCTGTGAAGCGCTTTGAGACGTCTCAAAGATGTGATAAGGCGTTATATCAAATGCGAGGATTATTATTGTAAACACCCTACCAAGTCGATCAGGTTCGAAAAGAAAGAAATAGATTTAATCTTTTGAGTATGATATTTCATCAGTACTGAATCAATAGGCTGCGAAAAGACAGGATGGACCACTTTGAGGAAAACAATGTCTGGAGAAAGATAAAATATGATTAGATGCAGAAAAAGAACACGAGCAGACTGTGACATGCTCTTTGAGACAATAAAAATAATAATCCTTTCAATTGAGAAGATGTGAAAAGCGCTATATCAAATGCAAGGATTTTTATTATTATTATTATTATATAGCACCTTTATGTGTCAGCCTGGCTCAGTGGTAGCACCGCTCACCTCTGAGGCAGAAGGTTGTGGGTTCAAGCACCACATTGGGACTTACACAGTCTAAGCTGACACTCTAATATAGTGCTGGGAGGTGTTGCATTGTCGGAGGTGCTGTCCTTCATGTGAGATGTTAAACCAAAGTGGAGTCCTGTAGCTCAGTGGTTAGAGCACTCGCTTTGCAAGCGAGAGACCTGAGTTCAATTCCAGGCAGGGCGAAACCTTGGGCAAGTTTCCTTACTCTACACGCCTAATAATAATCCCTCCAAAACCAAAAACAATAATTAAATTGGTCATTTTTAATCTACGACTGTTTGTGGGACATTGCTGTGCGCAATTGGCTGCCGCGTTCGCCCACAAATATACAGTCAATTCACTTTACAGTGTCTTCTGTGAAGTGCTTTGGGACGTCCTCCCGACGTGAAAAGCTATATCAAATGCAAGGACTATTATTATTATTAAAATCCCATCTGCCGGTTCAGGTAGACATCAAAGATCCAATTTGTAAGATGTCCATTTTAAACCTGTGGTGAAGTTCAGACTGCCACATATCCTATATTAAAAAAAATTATGCTTATTAATTCAGATTAATAATGGTTATGGGTAGTTAAAAGAATACAACAGAATAATGCTTACTTATCCACGTCCAGTTCACAATGATTAAGGTTGGCCAAACCAAATGTTGCGGAAGAGATGGAGGAGTAATGTCCGATTTAATGTTCAATTTAATCCACCAAAAGGTATCCAGGTACTGCCGTACAGTTGCCTGCTGGAGAACGCTGATAAATTTGTTGACTGTTGTCTTAGTCTTAATTTTCCTTCTTTAGAAGCTGGAATATGGTTCGCAACTCCAGATTCCAACAATCTATCTCTTCTGATTCTTGTCCCAAATCGATCTCCCTTTATCCAGTTGGTAGATGACCTTTCACCTACTTTGCAAGATGGCTCCTTTATCTCTAGTTTTAACTCGGGGAAAATGGAGCCGTGGCCTCAAGCAACCAGTGGCCTTGAGCATGGGAAAAGAACTGATAGACACCTTTAGGGAGTTGTTCTACAACCTGTGTGTTTCTCAACCTTGAGCATCTCAGATAATATTTGTCACATTAATTACAGGATCCTTACAAAATGGCATTATTTGAAGAGAGCAAGGACAGTCAAGAAATAACTGGCTAGTTTTATCTGAGGGATTGTTGACCTGGACACTGAGAGCAAGTCCCTTCCCATTTCGAATAGTGCCATGGATCTTTAACATCCACCTAAATAGGCAGATGGGCGGCCTCAGGTTTAAAAAGTTTCATTCAAAGATTGGCACTTCCAACAATACAGCACACCCCAGCACTGCATTGGTGTGTCAGCTTAAACATAAAGCTATTATTCATTGCGATGGGATGAAAGATGCCTTATTCCACTTTTACATTGTAAGTTTGCCTCCTGAGGCTAAGTCTGTCCTTGGAATTAACTCATAATGAAAAACATCCAAGCACAGAAGAGACCCAATGCCATAATGAGATGAGTTGGCTCTCGGTTGACTGTCCTGAAATTATATTTGCAATCATGGTAGAGGAATTGAAAGGCCAGGAGCAAAGTTGCCTGTTATTGAAATGCAGATCCCAGCCTTCGTTATCATTATTTATTATTTAGGTAATGGATATTGTTATTATTTAGGTAATGGATATTGCAACACAATAAATTGGCAGAGAGATCATGATAATACTTAAGAACATAGTGTAACTGTTTGGGAAATAAACAGTCGGTCTCAATGGTTATGAAAGATTTGACTAAACAGTGATTATAATATTACATATAGCATTACAGAGGAGTGGCTGTGAATTGCTGACTTGTACGGAAAGAATTCTTATTCCTCAAGTTTTTGAATGGTTGGCTGTTTGCACGTTTCTAGTTAAATTGCAGAATTTTATGCAGAAAGCACATTTTGTTAATCTAGTCATTCCTCGCAGCTCATCCCTTTAACACCAGGGATCAGGCTCATTGTATGGACTTCTAACCCTTCACAGGTGCATTGTTTTATATGGAATGTTTGCTTCTCACCTCTAAATAATTTGTTTTTTTAGGTGGGGTGAGAGCAGAATTACAGGTCTGACGCCCATGTTTTATTTTCATGCATACTTCTTTAAAGCACCCACACATTACTGTGCAGTGCTTTATCCAATCATATTTTTCACAACTTATTTCACACTTGCATCATATGGAAGTGCCTTCGTCTTGGCAACCTTTGGATGTTTCACTCAACAGTACAATATACAGTATAATTTACACATATATAATGCCTTTTGCAGTGGGAAGACATCTGAAATAAATATAGCTGGACACTGGAGCTGAGGTTGGGAGCTGAGTGGAAGGGGGGTGGGAGGAGGCAAAAGATGAAAATTAAAAAGTAAAAATGCTAACAAGGTAGTAATTTAATCTCACATTTCTGATGAAATTCATAGACCTACTTTTAATATTATTCCGAAATACACAGTGCATTAATATATTGATTTCATCAATAATAAGAATTGTAGTCTTTTTTTTATTAGCCATTCAAAAACATGTAGAGAAAAACACTAGCACAGATTTGATGGACTAAATGGGCCATTACTATAACATTCTGTGTTTACATATCTAATTGTAAGAAATTTGACGGAAAAGTAATACAACTCTTTCAGTTGCATTTGCTGCAATTGGGGGGGAAGAAAACTTTCTTGATTGTGAATTGATATCACAAGTATCACATAGAGCTCAATGTGAGACTTCACATTTAAAGTTAATAACATGCTTTTTAATTCATGAGACAATGCTCCATCCCACTAAAGTATGCCAGGTATAGAGAATTGACCCGCTCTGCCTTTCCTCACCTCCGTAACATCGCCCGACTCCTCCACTACCTCACCCCTCAGGCCGCTGAAACTCTTCATGCCTTCATCACCTCCAGGTTCGACTATGCAAACGCACTGCTTGTCGGCCTTCCCAACTCCTCCCTCCACAGGCTGCAGATAATCCAGAACTCTGCAGCCGGTGACCTCTCCCGCACCAAACTCTGGGACCCCATCTTCCCCATTCTCGCCCGACTCCATTGGCTCGCTATCCTTCAGAGGATCCAGTTCAAGATCCTGGCCCTCACATACAAAGCCCTCCATGGCCTCGCCCCACCCTACCTCTGCGACCTCCTAACCCCCTACCAACCCGCCCGTGCTCTCCACTCAGCCGGCTCCATCCTGCTCCACGTCCCCCGACCCACCTGCCCCACCATTGGCGGGAGAGTCTTCAGCCACTTGCCCCCAATCTCTGGAATTCCATCCCCCAGTCACTCCGCCTCGCCCCCTCCTTAACCTCCTTCAAGTCCCGGCTCAAAACCCTCCTCTTCGACCATGCCATCGGTCACCCCCCTTTCCCTCCCCTCCCTTTTCCTTCCCTGACCCCAGCTCAGGTCTGAAATGCTGTACACTGTCCAGTGCCTTGGAATGTCCTCCCGACTTGAAGGCGCTATACAAATGTAATCTTGTTGTTGTTGTTGTTAGAGGCATTGTAAAGTTTTTGTCAGTATTAACTGTTTAGATGTATAATGAATAGTTCAGACATTTATAATCGCATAGAAATTTGTAAATATTTACTAGCTACATTAAATAACGAGTTCATAGTTATTTTTTCTGTGTCCTTCTGCCTTCATTCATTATATCAAATTGGCACTTAGATTGATAATCTAGATTTGCAAATTGCCATCTGACAACTAGAATAAATCTGACTTAAAAATATACTTTTTCTTAGTCTCTTTTATAAAAAAAAGCTACTTCTTTTGAGATGATTCTATTAGAAGCACAATTGCTTTGAAAGCAGTAGTTTACCTCTGTTAAATATTTGCTTGCGACTTAAGTTAAATGCAACAAAATGTAACAGCTTGTTTATTAAACAAAGAACAGTGCATCTTTCATTCAAGCTTTCCCGTTCTCATCGGGCAAGTATTGCTGCTTCTCAGAATTAAACTGTTCAGTGTAGCCCAAGATATAAGGAAGGATAACAATTGGCTAAGCAGTAAGGATCTCTTTTCAGCGAAATATAGAATGAGTTTGAGACTAATCATGTGTCGAACCCAGGATGTAGTCGCTATAGCTAGGATTAAACGAACACTCACAAACAGAGTTAGCTCAGAAATATAGTTTATTCAAACACTTGCGGCAAGGAGAGGGAAAGCAAGAGACAATACAATAGCATGTCTCTCAGAAGAGTTGGTACTCTCCCTCTACCAATGGGGCAGTCCCATTAGTTTATATACATGATTATTTGCGATCACCTCATGTCTCAAAACAATTCTTGCTGTTGATTGACAAGCAACATTCAGTCATCACAAGCTTGATTATATATTTGCAGACACTACAAGGACACTGGTTCTGCTCTAATTATCTACACTGTTGCTTAAAAACAACTAAAATCTTATCATAGTCCAGACACTCTGTACTTCACGTGATTTAGTCCTTTTACATTCCCACACATGGAGCTACAATAGAGAATTGGCTTGACTTCCCTGTTTAAAGGGAAGTTATTGGGGAAGGAAGAGAGAGAAAATAAAATTAAACATAGCATAATACTTCTGTTTATCAAGTGAGCTTTACTGAGTTAGAAGTGCTGTATTTTTTCAATGAATTTGAAGAATTTCATATAGCAGTACAAAATCCTCTTCCTCACCTTCAAGACCCTCCACGGACTTGCCCCTTCCTACCTGTGAGACCTGCTAAACCCATAACAACCTGTCCATTCCCTCCGCTCAACAGGCGCCTGCTCCATGTCCCCCCCCCCCCCCCATCAGCCCGCCCCACCTGTTGACAGTTGGGACTTCAGCCTCTCTGCCCCCAACCTCTGGAACTCCATCCCACATTCCCTTTGCCTCACTTCCTCCCTTGCCTTTTAGTTTATTTTGGATATTGTACCAATAGAGGTGTGAAAAGGTAACATTGAAGTTTTTATTAATGAAAAAAGCTGCAGTGTTTTTTTATTGGTGACTAGTCTAAGTGTCTCTCCTATTCTTTCACCAACAGGAACCCAAATTAGCTGTTTTTCTCCAAGTTCCTTTTCTTGGCGACAAGCTGCCTATGTAGATGCCTACTGTTGGGCCTCATTGCATCGATATTTACCCAAGCAAGAAACCGAGAGACTTCCACTGTGGCTTCATAAGGTAAGAACACTTTTATGGACTTCAACCAAACTTTGTTTTCTTTCATATTGGTCTACTCTGACTTGTGAAATGATTAGTACAATGCATGACTTGACATGAGAGGCTTATAATAATAACCTTGCATCTACAACAACAACAAATTACATTTGTCTAGCGCCTTTCATGTTGGAAGGACATCCCAAGCCGTTGGACAGTGAAGGGTTTGCACCAGAGCTGAGGGTTGGAATTAAGGAGGGGTGAGATGACCATAAGCACGATCAAAAAGGAAAGTCTTCAGGCAGGATTTGATATTAGGGAGGGGCAAGGCAGAGGGATTGGGGGAGAGAGTTCCAGAGTTTTGGGTCGTAGTGACTGAAAGCACCGATGATGGAGCGGAAAGGGCGAACAGGAGGCTGGAGCCAACCGAGCGGAAGCAATGCGTAGTGGAGTGGAGGGTGAGCAAGACGTAAAGATAGGGAGGTGTGAGTGCACAAAGAGATTTGAAAACGAGAGAGAGGATCTTGAAGTCGATCCATTCGGTAATTGGGAGTCGGTACAGCCTGGCAAGGATTGGTGTGATGGGAGTCCGGAGTTTTGTACGGGTTAGTATCTGGGCATTGGAGTTCTGAATTAGTTGTATTTTATGTATGATGGAACTGGGGAGGCTAGCAAGGCGGACATTTGAAAAGTCCAAAGGCGTGGATGATGGTTTTGGCTGCTGTGGGTGGGAGGTATAGACTGAGGCTGGTAATGTGGTGGAGGTGGCAAAAACGGTGCTGGTCAAGGAACGGATGTGGTGGAGAAAGGAAAGTTGTGGATCAAACCTGATGCCTAGATTGCACACTGGTTAATGCCTAGAATGCTAATGGGCTCAGTGAGACTGAAGGAGAGCCCAGGAAGGTTGAAGAGTTTGGACCCATGGGAAATAAGATGTTGATGGGAGCCAAAGAGTATGGCTTCTGTTTTGCTGATATTCAGTAGCAGGAAATTTGCGCTTGATGTCCACCAGACAAGCTGACAGGACATCAGCAGACTGACAGACACAGCTAGAGAAGCAAAAGAAGTAGATTTGGGTGTCATCCGCATACATGTGGAAGTTGACTCCATGTCTGCGGATGATATTGCCGAGAGAGAGCGTGTAAATGATGAAAAGAAGAAGGCCAAGGATGGAGCCTTGGATTACCCCGCAGGTGACCGGGCGAGGGCGGGAGGAGAAATTGTTTCCCGAGTTAAATTGTTGGGAGTTTTATCATGTGGAACTGGAACAATGTGAGTGCCTTCCCACTAAGGTGGAGGAGGGAGGAGAGGTGGTACAAGAGGATGGCATGATCGACTGTGTCGAATACGGCAGAGAGGTCGAGGAGACTGAGGAAGCAGAGGGAGCCCTGGTCACAGAAAGGATGTCATTTGTTACTTTGATGATCGCTGTCTCTTTTGTTATGAGCAGGGCGAAAACCTTCATGTAGGGAGTTGAGGGAGAGGTGTGAGTGAAGTTAATTGGCAACCACACGCATTCCAAAACTTTGGCCAGGAAGGGCAGGTTTGAGGTTGATCTAAAGCTTGTGAGGTTGGAAAGTATCGAGGGTGGGTTTTTTGAGAGGAGTGATGACAGCGGTTTTGAGGGGGAATGGGACAGAGCCTGAGGAGAGGGACTGATTGATTGTGTCAGCCAGTAGTGAACAGAGGAGGGAGAGTTGCGTGACCAGAAGCTCGGTGGAGATGGGATCGAGGCAGCAGGTGGTGGGTTTCATTTTAGTGATGGGGCAAAGGGGGGCAGGATAGATGGAGGCAAATGAGAGTAGTGTGTGTGCCGTCTTAGGAGGAGAGGATTGTGAGGGCATGGCTGGGGTGGTAGGCAAAACTGGGGTGGAGGAGGAGGAAGCCAGGTGGATGTTGTCGATTTTGGTGATAAAAAAAAGTCCAAGTCCTCTTCACACTTGGCATCTGAGGTGAAAATCGGGGCTGCTTGAGTCCTAAATGATTTTACATGGTGTACTTCAAACACTCAGCTAAGGTGACACTCCATTGCACTGCTGGAAGGTGTTGCATTGTCTCTTGAGTATCTGGGCGGTGGAGTTTTTAATTAATTGTATTTTGTGTATGGTGGAGCTGGGGAGAACAGCAAGGAGGGCATTGGAATAGTCCAGCCGGGAAGTGACAAAGGCATGGATGAGGGTTTCAGCTGTGTCAGTTGTGAGGTACGGATGTAGGCGGAGATGGGCAATGTGGCGGAGGTGGGAAAAAACCATCCTGGTCAGGGAATGGATGTGTTGTAGAAAAAGAGTCTGAGAGTTCAGACCCGAAGGAGAGAATATGTTGATGGAAGCCAAAGAGTATGGCTTCTATCTTGCAATAAGGCTTTGTGAAGTGCTTTCTGATGTTCTCCTGAAATGAAAGGTGTTACATGAATGTAAAATTAATGATGTTGTTTTGTAATGTTTTAATTTTTTTTTGACAAGTACGGAAAGAATAAATATTTTTAACTTATGGTGTCAGCAGCTCTGTTTATTTTCCTTTGAACGCATTGTTGAAAACATGGGGTCTGGTGGTTGCTTAACCTTGAAGGTTTTAAGAATGTGGAGGAGCAGCCATCTCCTCAAAACAGTTTGTATTAAAATGTTAATCAATGTTTATGGGAAAGCAGTGGGTAGTAATTGGAATTCCTAGGAGATATGTATAATTTAATATTTTATACTATTGTTATCTTACTATTATCAATATTTTCTACTATGGTAATAATCCCTTCCAAATAAATAGACCAAGACAGACAGAAAGATAGAAAGACAGAAAGAAAGAATGAAAGAAAGACAGAACGAACGAACAATGATAATTTGGTCACTGAATCCGCAACTGTTTGGGACAATTGTGCGCAATTGCCTCCTGTGTTTCACCCAAAAAAATACAATCAATTCACTTTACAGTATACTCTGATATCAACGACGTGATAATAATAATCCTTGCATTTGATATAGCGCTTTTCACGTCTTCTAGACGTCTCAAAGCGCTTCACAGAATATACTGTAAAGTGAATTGACTGTATATTTGTGGGCGAACGCGGCAGCCAATTGCGCACAGCAATGTCCCACAAAACAGTCGTAGATTGAAAATGAACAATTCATTATTGTTTTGTTTTGGAGGGATTATTATTAGGCGTGTGGAGTAAGGAAACTTCCCAAGGTTTCGCCCTCTGCCTGGAATTGAACTCAGGTCTCTCGCTTGCAGAGCGAGTGCTCTAATCACTGAGCTACAGGACTTCACAAAAGGTGTTATATCAAATGCAAGGATTATTATTATCGATTCTAGTGCATTCCTGAATCAGTGCAATGGTCTACAATATTTAATCTTTGTATTAAAAATAAAGTTAATGTTTTATTCATCAGGTTGCAAAATGGAACCTTCTCCATTCATGTAACTAATGGCACCCTGGCATTCTCAGGTTCATTTATAGGTTAAACCTCCTTAACCCGAATTTCAAAAGAGAGCTCTGTTTCCTGCTCCCTGGGCTTGTGATCTTGACTTAAGTTAATTTCTCAAACCGTTGGTTTTCTGAGTGAGCCAGGGGGAGGGGGAGGAAGGTGACTAAAGGCTCGGTCGAAAAGAAAGGTCTTCAGCAGAGACCTGAAAATGGGAAGGGAGGTAGCGAGATGAAGGGAGTGACGAAGGCACTTCCAGAGCCTCAGCGTAGTGGATGAAAGCACAGCTGCCGAGGGTGGAGCGGAGGACTCGGGGGACGAGGAGGAGGCCAGACCCGGAGGAACGAAGGCAACGGGTACTGGCTTGAGGAGAGAGGAGGTCAGAGAGGTAGGGAGGTGCAGAAGAGTGCAGGGACTTGAATATGAGGGTGAGGATCTTGAAATTGATCCTCTCTGGGATAGGCAGCCAGTGCAGTCTGGCAAGGACTGGGGTGATCGGGGAGCGGAGTTTTGTGCGGGTGAGAATGCGGGCGGCAGAGTTCTGAATGAGTTGGATTTTATGGATGGTAGTGGATGGGAGACCGGCGAGGAGGCCGTTAGAGTAGTCCAGCTGAGAGGTGACAAAGGCATGGACTAGAGTTTCAGCGACTTTTGGGGAGAGGTATTGGTTGATATCAGCCAGTAGTGGGCAGAGAAGAGGGAGCTGGGTGACCAGTTGGTGGGGAGGGGATCAAGACAGCAGGTGGTGGGTTTCATGGAGGTGATGGTGTTTGAGAGGGAGGAAGGAGAGATGGGGAGGAAGGAATGTAGAATGGGGGTGGTGGTAGGAGCAGATGATGTGGAAGGTGAGGGGGACAGAGAGGACGTGGTGGTGGGTGACAAGGGACAAGTGGATGAGGCTGCCTGGCAGATGTTACGTATTTTAGTTGAAAAGAAGTCCAAGACCTCCTCGCATTTGGCATTTGATATGAAGATTGAGGAGGCCTGAGGGGGGTGGGGGTGGCACAGAGGAGGTAGTGGGTAGTGGGAAAAAAGGATTTTTGGGTTGTGTTTAGCTTCCAAAATGTTGTTGGAGTAGAAGGCCGTTTTTGCACGTGTCAAAGAACGGCGGTAGCTGTGGAGATGCTCGAGCCACAGTGGCGGTGAACTGTCAGGCCAGTTTTCCGCCATCTGCGCTTGAGCAGATGGGTTTGGGTCTTTAGGCGGCGGAAATGGTTGTTGTACCAGGGGGATCGGGTGGGTTTGGAAGCTAATACCACATTTTGGGTGGTTTGTCCCACAGAGCTATACATACTATGAGATGTGATAGGAGATGCATTAGGATTGCTCAAGCTGTTTTCACTGAAAGACATTACCAACAAAAACACCTTACATTTATATAGGGTCCTTCACACAATGTCTCAGAGCGCATTTTGGGACTATTCTCTTCCAGTACAGAGGGTCCATCGATATGGGATTTTTCGCTTCCTTCCTGCGGTGTTTGCCTAAATTACTGAGTATAATTGATTCAATTGCATTACAAGGTTCAGGACACGTGAAGGAAGCATAATTTGTTATAAAAGTAACATGCTTTGCGATTCCATGTCATCATTCCAAATTGGCCACTGT